TGATAAAATAACACCTGCCAGGAGTTTGCATGATTTTAAATGTCTATCCACAACCATATTAATTAAGGCCTCGAAAGATTCACCACACATCTTGCTAACTGCCTTCAGCACTCTTCGCAATACAGCAAAGTCTTTTCTCAAAAGCCCGGGAAAGAATAATGGAGAACAGTAAAGAATGATTGGTAATATACAAGAATTGACAAATTGTAAGAGTAAATGACGAGTAATCCCAAGAGCATGTAATCTCTTTATGTAATAGGTCAGACGGAAAACCTTCTTCGATAACGATAAAACGTGGGAAGACCAAGACAGATCAGAGGAAAAGGTGACACCAAGATAATTGACCTTCGACACTGAGTTTATCAGAGTCACCGATGGCACAAGCATTATGGGATCTCAAAAAAGTGTTTATATTCTGTTCATGTCTCATGCTAAAGTTAACAGCTTGACATTTAGACGGATTAAGTATGAGACCATTACCAACAGACCAACAATCAATACGAGACAAAAACTCATTCATTTCTATGGGATGTAAAGAGGAAGATATAGGCATACATACAGTAAGATCATCCGCATACTTCACAAAAGTGTATCTGTGGAAGATGGCAGGTCATGCATAAAAAAAGAGAATAGAAGAGGTGAAAGAACAGCTCCTTGTGGTACACCTTCCTGAGACAGTAGAGACTCCGAACACTTTCCTCCAAACACAGTATACTGTTCCCTTCCAGAGAGGTAGAAACATAGCCAGTTGGTTATCCAGCTGTCAGTGTTGACGCTGATTAACTTGTTAAGTAAACGTTGTCTTGGTATAGAGTCAAAAGCTGAAGTATAGTCCAGAAAAGCACAACGAACATACTTCTTACCCTTTTGTAAGTTGAACACTATGTTGTGGTGCAGAACAGCAACAGCATCTAAAGTGCTTCTTTTGCGCCTGTATGCAAACTGGTATGGGTCAGTATGCTCTTTTATCGCAAGCTGAAGTGGAAGTATTAATAATTTTTCCATGGTTTTGAGGAAGGGTGAAGTTATTGCAATAGGTCTAAATTTTACATTCTTATCACCAGATGCTTTCTTGGGTACAGGAATTATCTTCATCTTTCTCCACATTTTCGGTATGAGATTAGATGAGAAGGATCTGTTAAATAAGGTTGTTCATCTTATTATGAAATATTGTTTATTCCAATAGACAAATATATTTTAAGCCATTGCTGTTAACGACGATATATACAGTGAAGGTTATTTAGTTACTAATACTTTCTTTACAGAATTTGAAATTAATTTCATATTTAAATTAGTGATTTATTGTTATAACCAGGTTGAATAATAACTCAGCGATTTAAATAATCAATTATCATCCATTGAGTTAAAAATGAAGACAATTTTTTTTAATTAAGTGAACCATATTAATTATGTTACTTCATTTATGTATTTCATTTGAATAAACAAGATCCAGTAATCTGGATTGTTAAGAAGACTAATCAATTAATTATATTTACTTCCTCACACAGATCACTCTTGAATATTACTATCTATCACGGCGATAAAATTAATTATTTTCAGTAATTGAGAATTGATTATCTTATTTCAACATTTGAGATATAGATATCATTTATATTTATTATTGAATTTGTGGCGATACTCTAATTTATGGATGAACCAATCAGAAGCGTCTGAGAGATTTCAAGGTCATGGTGTCAACTTCGGTGCCTAATGCTAACGTACGATCGATTCACAGGGAATTTTGAACAAAACGTGATAACTGGGCGTCTATAACAAATAAAACGTCGAGACTATAATTTGTGGATGAATCAATCAGGTATAAGATAACAAATCTTGGATTTTGGCGCGAAAGCCTTTCGTCCATTTGGCTAAATAGATTTCTGGCATTATAGCTCATGTCAGTTCGTGATGGAAACCCTATATATAATTCCTAACTAAGGCCAATTATGAAAATTATTTCGAACTGGATTATAAAAGCACCAGTAACACTGGCTGCAGCCAGGTATTACAATACATATGAATGATTGAAGAGCGTACAGACTCCTACACAAGGCTTGTTTATGTGCATCGTGTCGTTATTCACAAGTGGCATTTTGTGTAATCAACAACCGGAGTGCACGCAAACAATATTGAAGTTATGTGGTCGAGGTTGAAAGAGTTTTTGAGACTTTATCATGGCTTCAGAGGCCGACTATTCTGTAGCCATATGGATGAGTTCCTCGACTACATGCATTACGGTTTTAGAACCTCTGAATCTCTTTCTAACCTTGACAAGTTTTTGAACCATGTAAAAGAAGTGTATCTACTTTATTTCTTCGGTTTTGTATAATATGTTTTTACTCTATACTTACTGTTTGTTGATTGGCTAGTGTTTATCAAGGTCACACAAGATTCGTTCAAACGCCGTCCATAAATTATAGTCTCGCCGAATTTGTTTTGTAAAAGAATAGAAAATATTTGTTGAGAACTTGAATTTTACTAAGAATTTCTTATCTATATCAATACGTTTGATAAGGGTCTACTTTTATTCACTTCTAAAGTTTTGTCTAAGCATAGTAGAATTGATTTTCTGAAGAAAAAAAAGAAAGAGGATAAGTGGATCAATTAATCTGAGTGTTTCCAAATAACAAATGATCATAATGTTTTGTATTTTCTTTAATTAAGTAGAATTTCCAAAGTGTATGCAGAATGTTCTGTTAAGTTCTATTCGAAATACAGATAATTCACCGAGTAACATCAGTTTGTAATAAAATAGCTCACTAAAATCCCCTAATCGAAAATAATCTATAGCCGCAGAGCGAAAAAAAAGTCTAAAACTAAAGAGTGAGTAATTTATTACGTAAGTTAATTAGGATTTATACTGGTGAAAAAATTAACTCTTCACAGACATGTCTTAAAACGAGGACATATTGAAGAATATATATATAAACAGATAAATTACCAAAGTTCCCTGAATGAATTCATGACCAGTGGAGTTCAATTATGTTGGGAATGAAGCACATATCACTAACATTAAATTTACCGAAATTAGAATTATAGGCTATTGGATAGGTCACAACTAGAGAGTTGAAATAGTACCAGTTTTGTTTGAAAAGTGTGTTCTAGGAGAGAGCTTATTCTTGAGTAAAATGGGATTTAAGTATCTGTATCGTATGATCAAGCATTTTTCGGACAAATACTGTTGTATATAATGTGAGAAATCTATACATCGTAACATCCTATCGGAAGTTAGCCCACAGTAGTACTTTACTATCAAAGTGAACGAATAATATTTGCAATTATTTCATTATTACCAACACCAGTTCAAAATATCACACATTAGCTCTACGTGCGTTATGATTAAAAAATAGTAATTATATTACCTCTATCAACTGTTACATATCTTATGAAAGCAAATCCCTAAATATCTAGTTAAATCATTATTACACAAGTTGAAATTAAGTCAGCGACTGGAAGGTAATTTTGACCACTGTTTGCGATACGTCGGGCCAATCAAAAATCAACCATATGATAAGTGCACGTAGTCGATTAGAAAGTAGTTTTCATTTCTAAGTAAACAGACACAACTGGTAGCTTGCTTTTCTAAGAGATAGATATATAAGCATGTATACATATGAACATTCATAAGTGTTGATTCGGCTTAGTCAACAAACTTCCTTTCCACTCGAATAACCAGTTGGGCTCGTGTACCATTATTAGCTCTCGGACGAGCATCACAACTTGATATGGTAATCACATGTATCTTATCATAGTAGGCGAAATCGGTAGCTCATGTTTGACCAGCAAATAACTCAATACACATATTGTAACACAGGACTAACGCCACTGGAAAAATAAAAGTCGATAAGGTGAGTCATACGTAGCAGCCAAATTAGGGATCAAAATTTGAAACAACTGATTCTCAAGGAATCAATCTTTCCACTTCTGAATAATCTTACTCGGAAGTGTTTTTTTCGTCGGAAACAATCAGTATACCAATATATCTAACTTTAGGCTGGTAGAAAATGTATGTAGGGTTATAATGCTTCCATACCGTAAGTCAGGGGCTGCCTTTTGATATTACTGTGGCTTGATGAGATATAAGGTATTGGGAGGTAACAATCGTGTTTTTGTAGACTTGCAAGTGCAAGTCAATCACATCCTACTAATCGACTAGGACATACCAGTGATGAAAAATGTAAAGTTGAGTGGGAGAGAGATGCAATTAGTGGGACTGGCTTCACTTAGAGATTCAATTTGTGAAACAAAATAAGAACGATTGATTTATGACTCCATTCACTGACAAAAGATTTAGTCAATTTAAAATGGTAACCAATCACAGACTTAACAGAAAAAACAGTCTCATCTTCACAGTTGGAATCATGAGCCGATCTAAGCTAGACAAACACTAAAACCTGGAAGCACTGGACACCCGCTCCGTTCTAGTATGGGGTTCCTTAGCAGTGCTAATCCAAGGTCCCGGACACAGGACTTTAGATGTTGCACGAACGCTTAACCTCTAGACCAATGAGCAGGTACTCAACGATGTTAATGTCTAACCTCAATTAGTCCATGATCTGGGGCAACCATTTGTTCGTTGCCCGTAGTGGATAACAGTCCCGCACTCAACACGGTTGGGCTCGAGCCCCGCGTGAGGAATTGTGGGTGGGCACCACTAAAGAGTCCTACACTAGGACAAAACGGCCGCCTAGTGCTTCCGGATTTTCAATGGTTGTCTAGCTTAGGTCGACTAGTGATTTTAACTGAAATAACTACAATCTCTATAAGTCCCTCATACTGATACATTCATTTCACAAAATTGTACTAAAGCTTCAAATATTGTAGGCATAATTAGTCACACTGGAGACTTCCAATTAATATTATGATAGAATACAAAAGCTTATTACAGAACACGATAAAATTGACCGAGAAAGCGAATGGAATATCACAACAAAATGAAAAAAAATTAAACAAAAAATAAACCAAATATGAAGATTTAGTGAAGTCGGTGTTCATAAGTGAATATTTGAATAATGGTTAAAAAATAATGAATCAATGGTAGAACATAATAGAAAGTGAACATAAACAAAAACATGTCACTGTTGTGTAACAGTATGAGGTCGTTCGCACACAGTAATGTTAGTAGCAATGGTTGGAATGAACAACAGAGTGAATTAAGAAAAAAAAGAAAACAAAGTAGTAGACCAATAATGTCAATAAGTTTTAAATAACGAAGGTAATAATTATTGGGATTATTATTGTTGCAATTGTTTCCATTTATTTAGTGGGAGATTAATTTATGGTGACAATATAATTGTTATGAATCATCTTCCAAATTTCTTGTAACTTTACTGAAGTCAAATGGACTTCCAGTTATTCGTTCGTACATTTCCAACACATCAGTACATGTACTTTCGAAGTGAGTTGATGCATCGTAACTCTTTGAAATATATATCTGAAATTGAAAACAAGGAAAATTAACGAAGAACAAATGAATAAATACTGGCATTTAGACTTGAAGTTGAAGTAACAAAGACATAATGTAGGCGAATGTTATCAACAGTGTTATATTTTTTGAGCCCTAAGAGTTCAAAAGCAATTAACGAATTTATCGGAGACTGATATTTGATAAATTATCATTGTCGGAAGGTAAACAAAATCTAGATATGTCAATTTTCTTATAGACTGGAGAGCACTTCAATTTACGCATTGACTTTCAACAGATTGTAACTGTCCATATACACCACTTGAAAAAAAGGAAAACTAAACTAAGAGTCTAGGAAAATCCCTCGTTTTAGTTTACAAAAAGAAATTACCATTGATATATATATATATATATATATATATATATATATATATATCAGAAGCTTACTCTGATAAGCAATATTTACACATATTCAACTTCTAAGGATAATTATTATGAGCCTAGTAATTACTTTCTTCTATTGTAAATAGGTGAAACTTTCTACCAGTCGAATTTATTAGGATTGACGTTTGATAAAAAGATTAATTATTGTCAATGAAAGGATGAGTACCGTATTAAGACCGAGAAATGTATTCTAGAATTTGCAATAACTGTTCTGAATCGCATATAACAGGGAGTATTGCTGTAAGAACAATCTTGAAATCTTGTTTGTAGCAGTTTTACGATCTAGGGAAAATCCTTTAGAATTTTATTGCTGAGTTGTGAATGGATATGAAGATTAAGTTCTGCTTGCAACTGGACTAGGATACACAGAAACCCAGGCAATTCTCTTTAGCGACCAGAATTTTTATCGATACTGCTTGTTCACTATAAGAAGCTAGGTGAACTGGAATCGATTAACCATCAGATTGTATGCAAAGGGTTTTAAGCGGACATTTCATGGATACTGTGATTAGAATTCGTATTTGGCACCACGTGTCGTTTATTAGTAGTTATAGAATAGTTTTTTCGGAAATCATAAGTCATTATCCATGGAATTGCCTATAATTTCATAAAACGACGGTTAGAAAAATGACTGATAAGGTGGAAATATTATGCGCAAAAACTAGTTGCCCACTACTCTTTGAAGACTAATGAGCTGAAGTTAGAGATTTATACGTTGGACACTGAACCACAATATGACCAGAGTAATTCGAGTCAGGAAAGTAAGTTTGAAAATATGGAGTAATGGTTTAGTCCAGTAAACAGACCATTACGCCCTAGTATGTGTGGGCCTCAACGATTATGAGCAAGTGGATACGCTTACAGTAATGGAAATTTAAATTCACTGTTAATGAGAATATGTCTAGCTAAAGATAATTTTTCGATCATATTAAAAAATCAAGAATAAAACTTACATTACTTGATCTACCATCATCTACAGGTTCGAATAAATCTGCTACCGAATAGAAAATATGTTCAATACGTCCAAGTAATTGTAAACCAGGTTGAAGTTCTTGGTGTGGATTTGATGTTTCTACAGTTGTTGCCACTAAGACAACAAAGAATTTTTCTGGGCATACGTAATGTGGATGAGAGACACACGAAACATATATATCTAGAAGACAAACATGCATGTAGATTAATCCAAATTAACATACCATGACGTCGACCAACTTGGTTTTGAGGAATGATTATTTGTGATGAAAGAGCATTCTTGATATTTGGAATGGGATGGTTTAAAATACATATGGCACGAACAACCTAGTGAGTAAAGATGAAAACGAAGAATGCTAATAAGTCCCGTACTTTACAATATTCATGATGGAATATATAGTCCTAGAAACTAATAACTTGTTGTACGATATGCAACTGGATAGACATTGATTTAATGATCATATTGGCAGTTTTACCATTGGAACTCTCGAAGTAGTCGACTAATGAATGGACTGTAACCAGGGTACTGTTAGAGAAGTGTAAACATAAGTATTGACATACGACTATCTGAACCAAAGAGTGCATACGACCCATTGGTTGAAAGTAGAATGTAAAAATGAAAAACCAACCGGAGAACAGAAATGAATCAATTGGGATTTTAACAAATCAGGTTTTCAGAAACTATTCTCTACAAAACCTAAAACTCAAATTTGAAGGGTATTGATTATACCTAATGGATTTGGCATTTTTAAAATAAGCCTATCATAAAGACGATAGAAACATTAACTTATTTTGTGCAACAACACACTAATCTTCCTCTTGATTACACTAAGCCATATAATAGCTGAATAATTTGACCTCATTTCAATATCTGATATGCTGTCGACTCAACTGCATGAGTAACAGCTAAACTCATTTGAAGAAGTGTTATAAATATATTTTTCCGATTTTTATAATGTATAAGCACATCAATATATTGACAATATCGAAACACGTCTGTGTAAATTGATTATTTGGTCTGTTTGTAATACATTAAATTCATTTGTATTGCTTAATATTTATGCGTGTAATGAATCTAACGTGTACGTTAGCTACTGTAATGTCGGCTGCTATATCAAACCCACATAGCGTTTTTTTAGCCTCTGGATAGAACAATCTGTTCATTTTTCCACAAGCCACATTTATACCCTGTCAATTATTCACTTATCAACCTTGACTGTTTTTATGTAAGCGTGTGTGCATTTCTTATCTTACTCATCACATGTCTGTAACTTATGTTTGTCTGACTAGAAATATTGATTCACGCTTGGTTAAATCGAGTTGATTAACATGCCGTCTTCATTGCGTGTCAACCCGTTTCGCTTTGCTCTTCCCTTCACTGTTTTTCTGATTATCTGTTCTGATCGACGATTGTACAAAATATACGTATTCAAAAATCTCGTGTTTGACTTATTTAATTTCGTTATTCACTAACGCAATTTAAGTCGATGATTAAATGCGAGGATCGACAACACATATATTTCACTAACAATCAATCATACGATCCAAATGGAGTCAGATTTAGAGCCTTTTAGCTACTACCCGGTTTTATAAAACGACATTATTCAACTGACAAATTATTCCTCACAATATTTAATTTCGTCTGTCTGTGTAAGCTCTTTACAAAGTTTATTTGCCAGGAAATTTTAAAAGTTACAGATAGAAGTAGCTAGTATTGGGAACAATAATAATAATATTTCCAACAACTAATACTAAAATTGGACAGGAGAAAGCAACACAAATTATACGTGGTACATGCATTTGGTGGTTGTAAGTTATGTTGTAACCCACTGAGATAGTAACCATGCATTTATGAAAGAGACTAGTAAGATAGAATGCAGATTAAATAACTCCCAGTAAGTTAGAGACCTGATTGAGTCATTTTTCGGACGGAACTACGTTAAGGCGTGTAGACTAATGCATTTTTAACCAATCAATGCTAATAAGCCGGAAAGACTAGAATTTTCCTGTGTAGAATTTACGTATACATTGACATTTCCTTACTTGTTAGCGGGATGGATATGGATTGGATTAAAACATATTACGTGCACGATTGTGTATAGCCACTTCTTAGCCAATCGGTGCCAGCAGATACTTGGGGAAGACAGTGCAATCTTGTGTAAAAACTATATATACACTAAGGTTTTTCTTATTGTGATTCCTACTTCTATTCAGCTTATTTTATTTGGAACACAATTACGTTTTTGTTCGACCGTTTTCTGATTTTGGGACTTGTTGACTGAAGTAGTATCCGAGAATACTAAGCATTGAGCATCTGGGTCGTAATAAAAGAGATCATAACATTACTAAACTAATTTAATTTGGTGTTTGCTTCAGAATACATTAATGTTTCTAAGTCGTGTTTTGATTTCGGAACCGGTCGAATGAAATGAAGTGTTCAGGAATACTAGGACGAAGACTTCATAATAAAAAATCCCGAAGAACAATAACTAAGAGGAAAATTTAAATATAACTTTTGTGCTTTTTGTTTGAATGAAGACATTTAATGAGGTATTCGTCAAAGTAGGCATCTGGTTTTTTCATACTATAGAAGTGGACAAACGTTAACACAATCCTTACTTTTATTCAAACTGAAAAATACCTCAATCAGGTTATGAGTTCACTTAAGAGATTTGAAGTCATACAGTCAAAGCACTTCAAGCTGGACAAATAACACGTAGTGAAAATTATTGTGCACAATATGTTAGTTTTTATAAAAACTGACAGGTTATCTAATAGATCTGTGAAAATCAGTTTAGTATTCAGACAAAATGTTGGTACATTAATCATTCTCTGCCATCATACATGTTTGTGAACATTATGGCTCAACACCAATAGTGGTCTCCGTTATTTTTTAATTGACTTATCCATACAAGATTATTTCTGTACAATAATGTTGTCAACATCTGAAAATCATGTCCTAAAATTCAAACTTAAATGTTTTCACACTGAAAACCTCCTACGTATTTGAGTACAGGAGTTACTACGGTCCGTGTAATAGAAAAATCATTTATCAATATGCTGTTTTATTCTATGACGCCTCAAGTTGATGATTAAGTACTTGACCAGTCAGTAACAAAGTAGAACTTCGTACGTACGTACATCAGTTCGAGTTGCCATACCACATTAGCACACAGATGCAGTGGTCGATTCACATCCTGTAGTGGTAGAGGTAATAAGAGTATAAGCAGTAATCGGGAAGATTAGTGTTTGGAGATGTTATTTAAAGAGTATAATCCAGCGAAACAAATTTGAGAAGAGAAAAAAGGAGACGAGGATTCAGATTAGAATTCGGGAGAACATAAAGAGTGCGCCATTGCAAACGATTCTGAGCCATGTCATTCAGGGTCTCTAACCATCATTTACTATCATCTCGCGATCCGCAATCAGGTAGTCTACACACACCAACATGACTCAGTCCACTTGTCAGTGACTTTATGGACTTGTGCCATGCTTTGGTCTGGCCGCCCCTAGCTTTCTTCCAACCTACTTCTATACCAGTGAACATCGCACTTGACCGGTAGCGAAACGATGAAACCACAGACATTATATAACTTTTTATAGGAACTTTTACTGATTCAAGAAAAAGAATTTTACGTATATAACGATCTTTTATTACAGGAAATACAGAACTGATGGATGAAGTAACCGTTAAATAGCGAAAATAGTTACACTATGATTTCCAAGCGTAAGACAAGAATTCTAGTTGCGAAACTAAAACGCATTATTATTAACACAAGCTAGACGATTGGATAACGCCACTACTCAACGGTTGTGATACAGTCTAATATATGAAAATACTCCACATTATTAACTTAAACTATGTTATTGCTTCGTACTTTAAGCAGATAATCAATTTTACGTGACGAATTACCCGCATATACACATTCTTAAACGTAAACCGAGTGGAATCAAACATTTCCAAATAGCCTTGATGGACAGAATTGGTCAAGAATCTCACGACAGGTAAACTTTTCCCATATGATATTCAAAAAGTTTGGCCAAATTATACTTTCAATACAAAGATAAGGAAGATAAATACATAAAGGTTGAGATACTGATGAATCAAGAAATATCCTTAATCACTAACCTGACCACACTTTCGGACGCGATTTGGAGCATAGCTAGGATCACATATTACTTTTTCACAACGTGCGGTTTCACCATCAGACTTCACCCCAACAACTTTACCATCCTCAATCACAATTTCATCCACTGGTTTTTCAAGCATATATGTACCTCCATATACCGCGCTAAGTCGAGCAAAAGATTGGGGCAATTCCCCTAAACCGTAAAGAGGATAAAGATATGGAGATTTGCCAAACCGATTGACCGAACGATAATAAAGCTGCATTTTGGAGATGACTTCGATAGCTGGTGCTTTTTGTCTGTAAGAATCGTCTGTATACAGACAAATAGCGTGACCGACGAGAGTCTGCACATTGAAAAAAAATTAAGTGGGATTATTTCTGTATGTCAAGTTTTAAGTTGGGTGACTAAGAGAGTGGCGATTCACATCGAATACAAATAAATGCGGAAAAAAATCAAATGGTGCATTTATTTAGTTACTGACCACTCATAACCAAATGCTTAGAAGTAAAAGAATGAATATTTCCACTAACACTCAAAATTCCAAATGCTGTTGAAAACCAGGGGCAGTGCTGTATATTACTCCGTGTCACTGAAGTTAGTTGTAACGGAAAACTGGGACGATAAAAATAACATTCATTCCTTCACTTTTGTTCTGTTTGTCTTCATTTTATGCATGATGTGACATATCTGATTCATATCAGATATAAAAATTGTACATTTTCCTTAGAAATTCACTGATAAGAGGCGTTAAGAGGTGAATGAGATTTCTTCACACACCTCAGATCCGCTTACGAATACACACAACCTGTCACATTAACACGCTTTTTGTTTCACATCACATGTCTCATACAGACTAAAGCAAACACCTACTTTAAGCACAGTTAACGTGATTGGATGTCCTGTTGAGTACACGGTTAACCAGAGAACCACGTTACTTATTTATATCTGATAATGTTGATGATTTAATATATTTCCAAGGAAATGCTTAAACCTGATTGTCAAGCAAAACGTCGGATTTGCTTCAAATTCATTCGCTGAGATTTTACAAATACATTCTTCTTCGCAAGCAAGAAGTGTTTTCGAGCTGCCTCATATTGAGGAGGTTAAGGGTTCCGGATTCGCGAATGGTCATTTGTGAGACTGTTGGGCTACTGCTACTCTCTTCATGCGAAGAACGGGTGTTAAGTTGTTTTTCTTTATCTCGCGAGAATTTAGAGCCATCAGTAGTTTAACTTTTTGTTTCAAGCCTCGAGTACGAAAACAGAGCTTAGGTATGCATAAGTGTTTTAAAGCCTGAATATGAGTTAAATAGGACGTGAATTCAAAAATATTAGCTGACCTTAGTAGTCTCATTAACACCGAAGTGTGAAAAGGCCACATCAATAGAATCCTTTTTTACACTTTTGGGTGGAGGATATACAGTAGTCCAAGTTGCGGGTTTATCAGGATCGACATCCAAAACCCATTGCAGGAAACTCTTGAGTCTCATTTTCTCAAATAAGGAAACCAAGCCTGTTGTAATCATTAGTTAAGCGAAACACTTACTTGTTGAAAAAGCTTCGCTTGAGCTACTTGGAACCTTATGAATCGCATTTTTGTCGAATACATAGCTCTCCTCAATACTTTTAAACTCAAGATACCTAGTAACACCAGTATGAACAAGTAATTTTACTAATTTTCCTACAAAATATCTATTAGATGCACGTATTACTTACCATCAGCCATTAAGAACTTTGGAATCAAGTCGACGTTCCAGTCCTTTCCTCGGCCAAATGCTTGAAGACCTGCATTTACATTGAACCTTTGGAAAAGTGCTTCGAGTGGTGTAACTGACGTAGTGTCTGCACCATAATAGTTGTTCCTATCCATGTGCAAGACCTTTTTTCCTTCAACGGACATCAAACCACTGAGTATACATTCCTATTCAAAATAACACTGTTATTATCTAAAATGATATACCTTTAAACCAGTACCAAGCACAATAATGTCGTACTTCTCATCCATTTAGTAGTTTCAAAACCCGCGGGCAACTCGTAATGGTGTGAAAGGTCGTTTCTTCTTACTCTAAAGTCTGAACAATTTGTTAGCTTAAATTTCTACAGTAAAGTAAAAGTGGATTTCAATTGGCTTATTTCGATAAGTGGTGGACGTGGATCTTCGATACAAGTTGGTGCTTAAGGGAAGATTTTAGTTTCAGACTCGAATTAATGGCGGAAGGCCTACGGCCTATGTAGGTCCTTTTCTAGTAAGCTCGTGAGAATATCTAGTCTTTTCTAAGATTTTCCATTAAAGGGGTGGACACCATTTCTTCGGTAAAATGTTCCAACAGTTGGTGACGACTTAAAAACCTGTGGTGGTAAATAAATCCCTAAAATAAAAAGATCTGTAAGTCTCCGATAGTGATAACAACCTCATTAGTTCTAGTGGACGCACCCTAGCTGATGGTGCACTTTCAGGCCTTTGCACCAGATCACGGGTTCGTGTGCCATGCTATGCGTCCCATTCAACTATTATCCGGCTTAAATCCAAAAATATCTTGAAACTCATCCATCCCCGAATTCTGATTTGATTCAGTTGGTGGCTTTCAGTCATAGATGTGTTGCGCGCAATGCTCTTTTCAAACCATAAATATTTGTGGCATCTCTACTGGTGATTTCTATGTGATCTCGTACACCAAACGACTAACTGTAAGCCTGTTCTTTATTATGATGTTACATATCACCTTTTATTCTCCAATATCTTGATATCATTTTCGGATATTTTTGTTTAGACTTTTTGTGTATTTTGTCTCCATTATGATAGAACAGGCACCCAAACTATTAAAGATTAGGACGCATATGAGCCACACCTTTCAATTTGTACTATTCCGACTGGATAATGTCGAAGCCTGGTTCTGCAAATCAATATCTGACTTCTGTAAGCACGGCGTGATGGACTCATGTGCATAATCCATCACAGTGGCTAGGCAATTCCGCACGATTTTAACAGGAACGTTATATGTAGTATATTTACCAGTGGTGTTTCCGAACCTTATGATAACTTGAAAAAAACTATCCTTAAACGGAAAGATCTAGCCGATAGACAAAAGTCAGGTCAACTCTCCCTTGGTGTAGAATTACGACACGGCTCAGCGACAGGAATGTTACCACGCATACGAGAGGTCTTTGGGTGGCGAACCATATATGAGGGCCTCTTCATATAAATCTTCTGTCTATAGCTCCTTCAAAAGGTGCACGATGCTTTTGTGGGACTTAATTTGTCCTGCAGATAGACCACTAGAACTATAAACGCAATTTTGGTGACCCCAGAGTCTATGTGAAAGCTATAGTCACAACAAAAATTTATATTTGATTGTCCATTGCAATTAATTGTGACTTTCATAGCATCATTCTTAATTATCATTGGACAAATGTTTATGCTAATATCCGGTTTCACTCTGTATACCATTACATAAACCTACATGTATTTATCCAAGTGCAGTAAAGGATTTATTTTGTTTTTTAAATTGTTGGTTTACTTCAGAGGTCGATATTCATTACACAATTATTACTATCATAATTGAACCTTTTCACTAAGTGTCCACTTCTTTTCTCTGTCTTTTTCTTTTCTAAATATTGTTCTTAAGATAACGAAGTTTGTAATTAAGACAATAACTTGTGTTACACTCAAACTAACTTCTCAGACTCGCCTTTGTCTTCACTATGCATATATGACTCATACATATTGATATTTGGTTACCCTCTGCACTTAATTAAGACCTTCATAGCATAACTTCAAACTATGACTGCACAAACATTTGTTCAAGCGTTATATCTTACTGCAATAATAAGTTATTTTTTCTTAATTATTTTCCATTTCATTTTTGTTACTAATTTGACGATGCAGACATAGTCGTTTATTCTTGTTCTGTGTTCATAAAAACGCCTATTAAACTATTTGCGTATTTCACGTCTCCTTTATTTCTATTCCCTTATTTTCTTCATTTCCTTCTTTAAACTGAATTCAATATTCTTCTCAATTACACATAACCTGATTTATTATTGTTATTCTATTATTATCACTCTCTTTTTTCAAATATGGCAAATATAACGCTAACATTATTGGCACTTGTGTATTATTGCATTTGTTAAGAAACCCGAGATGGTTTTTTCATAACACTTATGTACTCATAAAATATTTGTGAATACTAATGTCTTTAGGCTGTACTTCTCATACAATGATTTAGGATTATTGATTTCGATGAAGAAGTGACAGATGAGATGTGGATACACAATTTTTATTCCATATGTTTTCAATCTTAGCACACAGTACAGCAGGTGTCAACTCCATTTTAGTAATGGTTATAGGCTTCATCTGGCGACCTTATACTTAGCTAATAAAACAGAACAATGAACTTGACGAAAGACATTTTCAAAACGAGTATACTCCTAATACGAGTATACGCCACATCGCCTTTTGCGAATTCTGAGGCATCGAAAAAGTAATGAATCTGAGAAGTCTGTGGTTTGTACGATTCTGTTACGAGATTTCTTGGAAGTAACAGTTCACTTAGGTGTCTCAGACCTGTAAACCAACAGTCACATCTCATATAGCACTCCCTAGGAAGCTCTGAGTCCCTTGGCAGATCTTGCAAATTTAATTTATCTGGTAAAATGACGGAAGCTATAAACGCAACTGGGTCGACTATAGAAGGTACAAACTGCAAAATTGTTCTCCTTGTAGGAGTCACATCGAATTCGCGCACCCTGTGGAAGGTCTTATCCGTTCGAACATTCCACTTTATTCCTAGAGCTTTTTCACTTATTCCCATGGATAAACAAATGTCTACATTTCTTTCTATGCAGTCTTCCTCCGGAATAAACTTCGTCAATCCAACATTGTTACTGACCTACTTGATTAGTCAAAACCTCCTGAACGTAACTATTCCTTCAGCTGAGAATATATTAAATGGTCAAATTAAAGCTATTACTTTGCTGTATGTATAGTACATTTGTGAAACCTAGGATAGTACTTTGTACAGCAAACTTGCGCAACTTGGTGAGGAGTTGGCACCAAACAAGTGTACATTCATCCTATAGGTTTTTTGATCAGTTATTATGTCACCTTACGGTCACCATAAATATCTAAGGGCATTGCGATCATGTGGCGGGATAATTACTCCATGAAACGAAGCTTCAGTATCTGCTGTGAGTTCTATTGGTCGTAGCTGAAATCTGGTGAGGTCATCAACCAGATCGTCAGCTTAATCTGAACCAGAATGCAAGTTTTCATTCAGGGACGTTCCGAGGTATTGTGCTACACAGTCGAATACGATCCTTAGCTTATTAGGTTTTTTCGGATGGAAGACAAGTTTGTGCGGAAAGTAGCAAACCAAAAACCTAATGGAGTTCTCTGTAGCTTTTTGGCGCAAACCCGTTCGATATACTGTGCCATCACATTAACAAATTCCTTACCCAACCTCTGGTCACGAATGAGCCGGTTTCTCAAGGAATTTAATCTACCCATCACTAGTTTTCTGTTATTAGGTAGGCTTTGTTGGTGACACCAGGACAAAGCTATTCGGTAATTCCCGTTCACTAACTGTATAGATTTGGACATAGCATTCAAGGCTTTACGATCAAGCGACATGGGCGCGTGGCCATTCGGTACTTCCAAGTCCATCTTATGTAACTGACTGAATCTGGTTTCTAGTTCATTTTAGACGATAGGTAATTTATGATACCCATATTTCTCGTGGTCTCACTGTAAGGTCCAAACAACATCCGCCCTAAAAGTTTTTATAGCGTATGATTTGTTAGACTTTCTTACGCTCTTCTCTTCTGTCTCATGTTCTTCAGGTGGGTTGTACCCAAACAGTACTCTTCGTTGTCAACTCTCGGGAGGATACCACGATGCCGTCTGCGATGTCGCTGGTATCGCCCTACGTAACATAGGTAACATCTCGACTGTCACTAACTTTGGAAGTTTAATTGATGAAGAAGAATTTAAGGAGGAAACTTTTGTTTGAACCTCTTTACAATGAACTGTGGACTGGCTATTCAGCGATTTTAATAGACGCGTCTTGGACTCTGTGAAGTGCGATCGATAAACGAACAAACCAATGATAATATGAAACGCCTGCCACCACGTTAACTTTCCTTGACCTTGTATGGCTACGACTTGTTTGTTCACTAATCATAATTTAACGTTCATTACAATACATTATTCGCTTCGTTGACTCATTTTTCCAGTTCTTTAGTTACTGTTTGGTATGTTATTTATGTCTCTCCTTTTCCCTGTTTAATAGGGTGAATTGTTTATTTGTATACTAACAGTGTTGGTTAACGTTTTAGAAACAGATGAAGTTTATCAAGTCAAATAGCTTACTTGCTCTGACTTTGGCTAAACCAAGACTATGAGCTCGATAGTTTAGAGAATAGTTAAGTATTAAACCTGTAGGAAATTACTTCTAAACCCAACTTTCTAACTAGATCTTCTGTGATAAGTGAAGCGTCTGAGCCACTGTATAGGAAAGCGCAAGTTTCCACAGCCCTTTCTCCATTTTTCTTACCAACACAGGAACCATTGCAAATATTACTTGTTTCTGCACACGCTTAACACTTTCCTCAGTACAGAGTCAGGTAATAATGTGGGCATTACTATTACTGTACCTCTGCCTTACCCGCTTCCTGTGTAACAAGGTGTGGTGTCTGCAGTCACATCCTTCGACGGTACATGGTCTCAGTACTCAACAGTTTATTACTCTATGGTTCGCCTCCAGGCAAACGTTATAAAAGATCTTCAATACAAATCCTATCTTTCCATTAATATGCTTATCTTTAAATCTTCTTCGAAAGCGCTAGACGTCATATTGTTGGTTGTCAGGATAGGACGAGTCCCTGTGAAATATGATGTAACTTTCAGGTAATATCTTATAGATAAGGTATTCACGTCGTGACGATTCTACAATATTGAGTTTGGGTCTATTATTAGTACTGATACTGAATAAGACTATAACTCTTTATGTCTTCGACGCTGTCGCGACTGAACAACCAATATTCAGTTGGAACAACGGACTGACGAACCCAAAATTCATTCGGTAAGACCAGACCACGATCCTCTGTATAGTTCACAACACGTTTTTGAGATACTCGTATTATATTATGTCAAAACACAAAATCTGTGCTCAATATAAACGGTTCTAATTTAGAAAACAGATTAAATTACATCAAAAATACAAAATACCTCAAACGGTACAGTCTGTGCTATACAGTCAGAAGTTTCTCTAACGCAAAGTAGCGCGCTAAACAATGAAATAAACAGTTAATACTAAGGAGTTTGATACCTAAGAATCAATAAAAATATTCCCAACAAGATGGGATCAAATATCTATATACAGGGATTCCAGCAATTCTCCCAATCAGATAATCAAGAGTTTAACAATCACACACTGAACCACGCCTTGACCTTCAGCTTAGTCAAACACGACCTTACTGTCAATGGTCCGGCAACATGCGATGGTAACTTGGGCAACAGAAGATAAGTCTTTATTCAAAATCACATAATAAATGCTTAAACTAGGGAGACTGAAAAACAAAAGATATGATTAAACGAGATCGGATTAAAGGTTAAAATACACAACAGGGAGAAGGAACAAATAAATGACAATACTGTTCAACAAAGAAGCTTCAGATGGATTTTCATCGTTCTCTTTCCGTTACAGACGTCATTTGTTTTATTGGATAAACACTGTTTGACGTTGTTTGGTCAAGTATCCTCAGAGATCACGAGTGCTCATGCCGTGCTGCGCACCCGTTGAAACAACTAGTCAGCTCAGATCACATACTTCTCAAAACACCGATTGTCAACCAGAAATGTACTTTTGAACTCCTTCGCTTATAATTTCTGGGTTGGATATGTTTGGGATACTCGACTGTAAAGTTGTTGAGGACAAGGCGTTGTCATAGTCTAGATATCTGTGACATCTTTTAAATTGAGTGAAGTGCTGAAGTCATACGTGCAGGATCGTGGATGCGGACTGCTGAGAAGTCCCATATTAGGACAGAATGACCCTTCAGTGATTCCAAGTCTTCAGTAGGAGTCTTACACTGGCGGTTTTACTTAAAAATTATCCACTTTTCTCTGACTGGTATAAAGAAGCAATGATACAAACTATTCCGCGTCGACAAACAATATCCGACTTTTAACGCTCTTAGAAGGGTCACAATAGACAGTTCTTGCCTGGGTTAAGTATTTTAAGTAAAGATTAGGAGTTCGGAGTTAAAGTTATTATTACAACTTATCATCCGATATGATGCGGAAACGCACTTGATCTGTTTGAAAAACGCATTTCGGGTGGAAATCATAAAGACATGATGTGATTAGTTCATTCATAAAATATAGTGTCACCAGCTTAAGGCGTGCTCCAGGGTTATGAGTGTGAAATTAGATTGTATAAATACTGTTAATTTGATTATTACGTACAATTTACAGTAAAGGGACCAAGTGCGTAATGCATATAAAACTATCACTCTTAGCTTATATCAGAGAAAAGTAACTTCGTGTCCATATTTTAGGCATTTATAGAAGTGTACAAAAGAATTTTTGCTGCTCACTGTTTGTATGGTGGTCTGGGTCTTGTCTGAAAGTAATCTGGCTACTACGGGAACATGTGTAATAGCATGCACAAAGAAATTCGGAAAAGTGAAGAACAATAGGAAAAGTGAGTTGACGATTCAGCAAGCACATTTAATAAGGTAAGCAATCGACAGCAGTCAGTAATAACACAGGCCACAGAATAATACAATATGGAGATGGGAAATGAAAGTCTTATATGAGACAAATTAAGGATTCCGTGCGTAGTGGGTTTGCAGTAGCTTAGCAAGCAGCACAGCGCTATGCTGAGAGAATGTCCTTCAACGATAGGCTTCAAATTAGTGGTTTAACAAATACTACCCCAATTGACGTTAATGATGTCTCCATGAAACAAGTAATTATGTTTAACAACAGTAAAATAACTTCATTTAAGCCTGATAATGTAGTAGTAGTAAACGGCCAGCCAGGTTTAGTCACAGATATAAAGGAGGATGGACTACTAAAATTTAAGACTTTCAATGACTCACGCAATTACTTTGAAGATCCTTTCCCATCTAGTGATATTGGAATCTTTATGTGCTCCGTAGTTAGCCATGAATACACATGGGTATCGGTTAAGGACATTGATGCATAGCCATCAATTGTATCAATTATATAGTTGTAATTCGATTGTTGCATGCTTTATTGTAAATGCATTTTGTTTCATTAGTGTTTAATTAATGATGATAAACCATTTACTTACGTCTTATGTTATTTTCAGCCCACTAACAAGGAATGCGTCATTGTTGACTTCCTCAGTAAAAAACAACTTATGATAGCATCAAAGGACTGGATAGTAGGCAAGGAACTTTGCCTTTTTCCAAAAGAACTGGTAGATATACACCTGCAGAAGTGCGACCAACCAAATAACAATTGGTCACTTATGAAATGTAAAGTTATTTATGAATCAGGTAAGTTACAGACATGGAAACTATAATTCACTATAGAATCAGTGCAGTCTGCAAAAGATCTGTTACTTTCCCTACAAATACTGCAATCTCACCGTGAAAACACTTCAACGGATGAAAACACTCTGCCACATAACATTGAGAAGCCCAAGAGGTCTGTATAGTAATCTTACTAACATTCCATAGAGCTGTCATGAAGCGCAAACAAGAATATCTTTACAATTCAGTAAACATGAATGTTGCTGAAATGCATGCTGGCAATAGTCATGTTCAATATCCCAAATTCAGGTTGTTTCGCCTATTGCTAAGTAAGTTTCATGACTATTTACACGTTCACAAATTAGTTCGACGCAATTAGAGACATCCTCTACATCGGCATCAAAGCGTGTCCATGGTGCTTCAGCGGACCAGTAAGTCACTTGCATCATCAAGTGGACTTTTTCAGGTTAGATAGGTTGCATGCAATGGTGCAAAACATTTCGTCAACTATGAATGACTTTGGTCAAACGTTGCAGAAAATGTCAACAGTCATTTCGGGTTTGAGTATTAATGTAAAGCAATTGCTTTCAAAGTCTAATGAGCGCGAAAGACCGCATCAATTCGACTACGGACTATCAAGTCAGCAGTTCCCTTTGTCATCTGAAGAGGAACTGCAGATGCTGGAGACAGGTTTGCAGCAGAAAGAAACCATGGACCGATTTGTAAGTCATAAACATTAACATAATAATTCGTCACGATTACAGATGGCAATGGTTACCAGGCTGTCGGGTGACGGTCTGAAAACGTCGATGCGGTATGTTCTGTCATATCTCTTGACACCTGAGCTCACCATTAACTTCACGTTACTTGGAACTTCTTCGAAACGACCACTTCAAAAATGCCGGTTTTACGGCTGCATACGAAGTAATTAATATTTAGTGTTTAAACTTCAGGTGCGGTAACAAATCGCTTTATGTCATCCTCTATCAACGAAAATGACCTTGCGATGCTGTACGACATAGCCACATAAGGTTATTTTCACGATGTCAGAGACAAAGTGATAAAGCGTAAAAGAAGGAAAGAAGGGCAGGTATGTATTAATTATAAGTGATAACTTTCCTTACGGCTCTATAGTTACAGTCATCAGTATTGATGGATATAACCGTAAGTTCAGCTTAAAGTATTTGGCTGTGCCAAGACATGTCATTCATAGATTGTTGTGACTTTTTCTGTTTTTTAAACTTAATAATTCACAGGACAACTACTTCAATTTTCAATAGGCGAACGAATGTGGCTGAAGGGAACAATCCATGCAATTTTTAATGTTCTACCTACATTTTAACAAACATTATTTTGTCAAAGAGCTTACTTTATTACTTACTTGGGAAACTATAGAAGTATTGAGAATGTGTGTTTGTGTCGGTTAACTTTAGATTAGATGCAAATGCCTTATGAATAATACATCACCTGTTTCATCTTTTGTAGATCTTTTCAAATAACAATGAATTGGCAATTACAATTGATATACAAAACGATTGATGCTCAAGCTTCTGCTCTAATGTTGTACAATAATACGATTTTCCTCTTAAATAAAATGTTTTTAAAATACACCGGTTTTTCAGTACATTGCAGTTTTATTTCGACAAGGTTTTCGAAAATAAAGGCGAACAAAGGAGACCTTTGGGGTTATGTCAATGAATCAAAAGTAGGTAGTTCTGCGCATATTTAGGCGAAAAGTAGACAATTCAGCGGAAATTTAGGCGAAAAGTTGGTAATTTCGCTGATACTTAGGCGAAAAGTCGGTAATTTGGCGTATATTTAGGTGAAAAGTAGACAATTTAGCGGAAATTTAGGCGAAAAACGGTAATTTATCGACAAAAAGGCGAAAAAGGGGTAAATCCGCATTATTTTCCCCGGACAGGCGAAAAAGGCAACATTCTGATGCGTTTTCCCCTTTATTTCCCCTTTCGCTACTAAAGCATTTACCCCCTTTATTTCCTCTTTTTGTGTTGCTTGGGGTAGGGTCTTAGATGAGCTATAATGCGTTACATCTGAACTTTGTCGGAAGGTCACAAAACAGCGTTCACAATTCTTAGCGACTTATCTAGGAAGAAGTAAAGTTAGTGAACGAACCAGTCAGATTCAGGCTAGAAATCGATTTTCCTTGCATAGCTGCAGCCATATAATGACGAAGGCTCTAATAATTTATATATAAGAGTTCGTTGTTCATGTCATGCTTTTCACTAAATATAATTGTATCCTTTTTAGTGATTAATTGTTTTTTAATTCTATACTGTTTTCTCGTTAGCATCAGAGTACTTCAAGGCCGTACATATACCTAGCTTCCACCTCTGTCTTTATACTATACTTTCACCCACTTTAGCTGTGATTTATCTGCTTTGTGAAACTAAGACGCTGTTTTTGGGCGGCAGACTTGTAGTCTTCGGATGACCTCCAGTCGACCTTGAGGGCCTGTAAACTGTCTACCGATCGTCATGAAAGTGGTTTTGCAGCCGACTGAGCTGATTGGTACTGACTTTGTTTAGTTGTTAATGGTGCTGTTAGTGCTCGTCCGTGCAATAAATTCACTTGGAAAACTAGGACATGAGATTTACTTTGAATGCGGCACAAATGATGTGAGTAAATTTAGTCGGTTTGCTTATGATATTGTAGTTAAAGATCAAAACAGTCAACGCCACGAGGTCTTCTTTTGCTTCAGTTCATTTTAGGGAAGTGTTTTTCGACAAGTTCTCAAGCCCTTTACCTATCGGGTCTCTGCAACGTTTTAAAATCCCTAGTAGTGTATGGTGTATTATTCTCTGTAATTTCCCTAGTCATGTTCCAACGTCTTCAAACTTACTTCCGCGATGGAGAGGTCCGTTCTTAAATGCAAGATGTTCTTATCATCCCAGGACACTGTTCTGACTGTTCAGTACTTCTGTAAATTCGGAATCGTTAAGACGTATAACATGTCAATCATCGATTGTGAACAGTTAGAAGCTGTTTACTCATTAGAAGAAAGCGCTAATCATTTGGTTATATCAGCACGGTATGTTTCTTGTCTTTCTATGTCCTTAGTTTACTGGGAGAAATTATCAACAATTTTCGCCAGTCTTCTGAAGAGCTAACAATTCTTTTAGATTCGGGGGAATGCACTTTTCAAAATCACACATTTCAAACAGGTTTTAATCAGCCAACTAATTTTCTTATTATTCCTAGGTCCCTCTATGATAACAACACAAATCCCTTTGAATGCTACTGAATTTGACGTCTACCGTGTCCATTCAAAATGTGAAGTCACATTCTGCCAAAAGGAATTACGGGTAATGCTGTCATGTACCTCGAAAATTGTTTACATTTAAAACGTTGGCAATGATATGCATTTTCTAAACATCGGGGTGACAAAATTTATCGTAGTTAGGCCCATCATTTCATGAGATGTATTAGTTGCGTTGCTATTGCTTTGTAATTTCATACGTAATGGAAATTTTACAATAATTTTGATAGTGATACCAAATTTTGTTACGTATGAAAAATCGAAATTCTTTAGCGACAAAAACTAGTAAATAAAGTGTTTTTGATAATAAACAGGATCGTTCTTACCAAAGAATGTGTTATGAGCTGCTTGTAGTAGATAACACTATTATTTGATGACACAAACCGTTTTTCACATAATTCGTCTTGGGTAATTGAATGATATTAACTCTCAAATACTTAGTGTCTGTGAGTCAATCATACTAAATACTCCACCACTATACACGGGTAGCATTCCAAAACTATTTACAACTGATTATTTGTATCATCGTTATTTCTGCTGTCTTTCGTAACTATGTTTAGAGCTAATCAGTGCTCTTTGTACTCACCCTTTGATATATACTCAACTAATTCACTACCACGACAGCATATTTGTGATATTCAAAATGATTATTTCATACTGTTTTGATTGTCTCGTTTTCATAACCGGATTTAGTTCTAGTTTTTTTAATGACACTGATGTAGGTACATATTATTGCTGTTGATAAAGTGTCCGTTAGTATTTATAAGCATAATGTAGTTGGGAACTGATTTGTTAACTAACAATAGGGTTAGGGTAGATTAGCGTATCGGTTTTTCTGGCTAGCAATTTCTGACAACTGGTAATATGAATGCGACAGATCTATATTTAAGGTATGGTGCGTAAACTTCTTTATTTGAATTCAAATAAAAAGATTCCCTTTAATGACTGTAGTCTTTCAGACTTATTGAGTCATTTAATGTAGTTATGTAACAGTTATCCCAAAATAACTATTTGTTGCTACTTCTGGGATAAATATTTTTTCTTCATTCATGAGCTAGTAGCTACCAGTATATATGAGCGATTCCTATTCAGTTATGATTTTAAATTAAATGTGTTTATGTACGTGCATATCACCAACTCATCAAAATGGTATATTTTTCGGCGTACATTTACAAGATTATATATTCCTTATGATAAGTGTCTGGTGGTGTCAAATTTTAAATTATTTTCCGAATTTATCCTGTGTAAATGTTTTTTTTCTTTTAGGTCATTTTGTCATTCTGTGAGTTGATTTCTCCTATGATAAGAATTTATTGTGATCGACCGGGCAAACCTATAATTTTTGCTTGTACTCACGAGACAAGACTCAGTGCTCGGTACGTATTTGCAACCTTCCCTTCAGATGGATCTTCACTTCCGAATTCCCAGCGCTCTGAATGTAGCCGTCGTTTGTCATCAAGCAGAACTCCTGTTTCACTACAACATATAAGTACTTTATCGACGGGTGGAAAGTAAATTTCGTTGTTTATAGTGCTACGTATGATTTTTTAAATGTAAACTTTGTGAGATACATTACCTAAAATCACACACAACTTGGACCGATGGCTGACTGACATCTGTCACAAGCTGATAAACTTACCGAGTGTTGTAAGCTATTTTGACACAGGAAGTTTATATTGTTTAAAATATTTCCGACATCCTTCGCCATTGTGATGGAGTTTGTATAACCATAAAAACCTATCTATGCCATTCTAGCTGAAATTTGTTATTAGTCCTAGATTTTTAAAAATATTGATCGGATAATATTAAGACCAACAGGAGCAACCAATCTGCATATACGTACAAAAATATACGTTGAAAGTAAAGTAATGAGCAGATACACTTTTCATTAAACCAAAAGTCTACCACCCATTAGTTTGATCGTTTGCCTCCGGTAAATTAACGAGATAGACACGGATATAACAAAACGATCCAAAATTATCAGTAAACATTATGATAATAGCCATAAAAACAGAGAGATTGAAACATTTTCTTTATACGAGAAAGGAATCACTGATTAACTTTTGGTTGGTAACGGAAATTAACAGCATAAGTAACTTCACTTCTGTTAACTATGATTGCAACTCCTTAGATTGAACTCAAAAATTACCAGCGTTGGTTCACGCCAGGTTTTTAAATCTACCGTACTTAGCTGTTATGAGATGTTCACTTTAAGGAGATAGCTTTTTCACAAGTAGGTTCCGCATACAACATTGCCCATTGTTGACTAGGACTGTGTGAAAGAGTGAAAAAGGTACAACTTATTAATGCTGCCTTTGTTTCCAGATTTATATTTCCTCATATACCACTATAATTGATGAGAAGATGTTTTTCATAGCCTTCAAAGTGATGATACTGTCCTGGTGAATAAAGAAAGTAATCCAAATGTTATATCATCCAGATGTATGTTATCTCAAGAAAATGACAATGACACTCAAATCTTTCAGTCGAACGGAAAGTTGTCTTTTATAAATAACGAAAATAATGCTCCAACAGTAAACCAATCAGTGAGTTTTCGTATTTTTGTTTTGGTAATTACAGCCCGTTTATTGTCTGGAGAGATTAAAACATTTACTTTTACTCTACCGAAGGTTTTTGTAGGTATTAGCTCTGAGATTTATCAGTACATAATTGTGTGTCAGAAACACATTAACCTTTTTTTGTGTAATTGTTTCCAGTTGTAAACTACTACTTTGTTAACTAAAATAAAGACAGTTATATTAAAGGTTGTATTCAGGTTTCGATAAATGTTTGCTCATGAATAGCATAATATGTGATATTCATGTATCAAGTATTTATTTATTTATTTGAACACATAAATATTGATACAAAAGGGCACCGGATACATATGCGCCACACAAGTCACTTGATTTGTTTGAGGACTGTGACACTGCTCGGTTGCCCAAACCGAAGCGGGTGGTTTTCTTAGGGGGCCACACCCAGAGCCTTTGACCTAAGGGTCTGATCCACAAGGCAGTGGAGTATCGTAAGGCGATGCAGTCCCATAGTAGCCGGCGACCAACGATTGGTTCATACGCTATCTATTCCTTCAGGACCCTGAGGTTCATGTGCACCGTTGATCTGGAACCAGGGTTTTCCAACTCCCCTGGTTAAAGCACCGAATATTCGCTTTTCATCCTCTCACTTTTGTAAACAACACCGCCGCCACGAGAAGGCAGAGAGTGCAAATCCCATGGCAGTGGCGTGGTCATGCGAGAGCATTTCTAGAGGGAGAGCTGACTCTCCCCACCCTCGGCTGTTCCAGGGCATCACCCAGGATCGGTCGTTTTCTAATGAAAGTAAGGTCCGTTCAGTGATCATATTGTTCGTAAACGCTGAAGTGGTTTCAGCCAGATAAGTCGGCCATAAACAATTTAAGACGCGGCGTGAATAAGTATCGATTCAGGTTAACATCCTATAACAGCAGAACGACGTTGGAAATTTAAAAGGTGACTTACCATGGGTTAGGAGTTATGCTATCGGTTGCAATAAAAAGTCAAGTATGGAAGGAATAAATCATCTTAAAATCAAAGATATAAAATAACGCGATTTTAAAATGTAGAGGAAGATAATAAATGGATCCAACTGAAGCACCAATTTATTTTTATTCGTTATCCAAGGTCTCCAACTATGGATTATTATTGTCACACGGTTCCAAACAAGAAAGCCTGAATTTAAGTACAGGGCTTAAACCAGCAGTCTCTCACTTCATAAGCTTTTGGTATGATTCGGTCTGATTATTCCTGAATTGTCAACATGTTCCTATGCTAAAACCAGAGCATCAAAGTTGGTGTTAGCTCTGTATATGTACTACATATTTCGACCACTTCAGTCGACGAAAGTTTATCACTTGATCGGTTGATTTTTATTTTTGAATTTTAAAACCATACTCACTTCGTACAACTTTCTCTTCGGACCCAAAATGTTAAGCGCTACGACTACGTCAAGTGATAATAAATAGCTTTCAAAACTGAGGTAGTAAAATGATGTTCAAACCCTCTGGTTGGTGGTTAGAAATTCGAATGCCTTAGTTTTTAATTTAGCTCCCCTATGTATGTACAGCGGCTAGGTGTTTATATGAAGCTTTATGATAACAATGACGCTAATTGACTAACTAAGTTGGTTAGATATTTTGAGTGTGGTTTGCATTTTGTTCCCGTTTTTTGGTAATATTTACATATCACCTCACCATAGTAACTTTAGGGATTGCTTTCATGTTTTTTATTTCTGAATTAAGTGATCATTTGTAACGTTTCCAATTTATAGGTGCCTAATCCACACCAGGATCACGGCCGTTGTGACGAAATTCCTTCTAAAAAGGTATATTGGTTTTGCATATAACGTATAATAAAGTGGCTAGTAATAATCACGTAGTTTATAAATATGATTACTTAGTTGGTAGCAGAATTGACAGTATCGTTTAATAGTTCGAATAACGATATCGTGGGTGAAACAGATATTACCAGTGGCGATGGATGATGATCACACAATATCACAAATTGAATGAATTTAGACATGTGGACCATTGGACGACAGTTTAGTAGTCTTAAGATTAAGCACTCGCGCCGGGCATAAAGATCGTACGTTCGATTTCTGGTTGGGTCTTGAGTGCGCACTGCCGAGGATCCACGTATTATCATGAGACAACTGTTCAGTGGTTCCTGGTTTCTAATGGTTGGTCAGTTCGTGTTGTAAAACTATAAGGTCAGTAATCTTTACAAATCCTTCTGTATAAAAGTTTGGATTAATTTCCAAGATCATGGCCATTAATTGATCATCTATATGTATATCACTACCTCACTAAGGGTGATAGCTATTCATTTATATTTTTACTCAGTCTAATTTCAATTTCTCGCATTAAAGTGTATGTAGGCAAGTATTTTCATAGGAGCTAAGAAATATTAGGAAATCATAAAACTATTCGAAGCCGATTACTGTAATAATCGACTTCAATTGTTTGAAAACTATGATTGATGGATCCGTTTGGAACAAAAGTGTAAAAATACTTATTTAGATATTGAATCTATCGTCAATTAGTGGCAATTGTTAACCTGTATTGAATAAGAAATGCCTTGTATGTTTGTTACACATATGCAACGGGTACATAGAATAAATGAAATGAAATAGAGCCGAAATCAATTCGAAAAAACAAAGCAATGACACATGTATGAAGTTGTCGTCTTATTCATATTAGAAATTATGATCGTGCTTCCTCGCACTCCAATGACAGAAGATCAGATGATGGATAATGTTGTAGCATTTAGTAATATTTCATGCCTACTTGAATTATTCTAGCTTTTGAACATTTAGCTTTTGAATATTTACTCTTCAGTCGTCGGTAATAAGGATAGCAGGCCGGTGGACCTGTGCTAACCCTTGCAGCTTGTTTTCCAGTGAAGGTCAAGCTTCTCCTAAAAAAATATTCATCAATTGGACTGATACCATTTGTTCGAGTAATGCGTTCTAGTCACTGACTACTCGATGAGAAAAGCGGAATCCCACTCTGAGTTTATGAGATCGTGGTTTTTGAACCCTCTTACTATAGTCTCGGAGGTGATTAGCTCTAGAGGGCGCAAGATAATAAGACATATTAACTCCCAAATCGTTATTAAAGATACGGAATGCCAATATAAGGTCACGTCGCGTTCTACAATACTATAAGGGAAGAGGTTCAGGCGTTTTAAGCGCTCATCGTAAGGGAGTTTGGAAAGACCCTTCACTAACTTTGGTCCAACACGCTCGAGTGTGTCAGTATCTTTAATAAGACATGGACCGGCTGCTAGGACACAGTACTATAGGTGTGGTCTTACATACGTGGGATATAAAATCCAAAACATTTCGTCAAAGTATTTGAATGCTCGGCGAAGTGGCCATAACGCTTGAAAATATAGGGATAACTATAGCATCTTTCCAATTCCCATGAAATTGAGTGTAGGGAAGGGACATGTTGAACAAAATCGTGAGTGGTCCTGAAATAGTATCCACGAGAGATGACAGTAATGGTGGATGTAACCAATCGACACCCAGTGTCTTACTAGGTCTGAGGCTAATAATCATTTGAAGAATTGCTATAGCTGGTATCTCATTGGTGTGGTTATGATAAATATTGTTAACAATACCCATAGAGTAGACTTCGCTTAAATATTTTGATAAACTCGCAGATTTGGCCAGATCTGATTCAGCTGGTATATCTAAATTTCCGTGTAACAATAATTGAGAGGTACTGTCACTACGTCTTTTTCTTCGTCTAATGTACGAAAACAATCGTTTTTGGCAGGTACAGATATCATATGCCAACTGTCTTTCGTAAGTGGCGCAGTATCTAGCTCATGGTCTTTCTATATATATATTCCGGGTTTTTCTGTGTTCGCACTTAAATGATTTTTGGCCTGTTGACCAGTACGATTCCAGCAGTATTTTTTTCACCTCATCAGCTTTTGGGTTTCCTTATGGGTCCATGAGGTCAATGTGGTACGCTGCTTGTTGATCATAAGATGAGCAGTAATGTTACGGACTTAAATGTGGCTTTAAACTCATTCCATTCGTCTTTAATCGTCTCATCTGCATTCATCGACCAATCATTTGGGATAGAACAGTCTCTGATTGCCGGAATGTTAGCCCGCCAGGTATTAGTACGGGATCAAACAGATACATATTGTGTGTCTGACATCTAAAGTACAGTACAACATAATCATTGTTTGCTAGTGGGGCTAGGTGTTGAATGCCAGTGACATCATCACAGTGGTGTGTAAATACGCGATTCAGCAATAATGGTTTGTGTTACACGTTATTATGTGTCGGTTTTGCGATACATTGTAAAAGTGAGCACCGAATAATGGTTGATACCAGGCTTTTGTCAAAACATTCACTTGAATTTGTAAGCTTTATCCATTTGATATACGGCGCGTTGAAATCTCCAACGATGAAACAATAATCAGCCTTATTCCAAGAACAGATATGACTTAAGACAAAGTTGTCAGCAAGATAACGTGAACTACGGTGTTTCTCCTACAGTCACTGACCCATGTCTAGATTTAGTTGTACATCAAGCTACCTCACATGTACCACTATCATGCGTCTCTGATGTACTCGATTGTACATATAATGTTATACCTCCTCAATTTTAGTTTATAACTCTATCACTTCTAATGCTGATATATCTTGCAATGATTAGAGAACGGTTGACATCTACAATGAGCCACGTTTCTGTGACAACAATTATATCGGCACTTAGTTCATCTATCATCAAGCTTAGCTCAGACTTTTTATTTTTAATTTATTCTTTTTTGTACCACTTTCCATACATACGTTTGATCTTGTTAGTTCGCTTGTAACGTTGATCACTTTTATATGAGCGTATTCGTGTTTGTTTACCTTTCTTCATTACATGTCTCTGACCTGTTTCTTCTGTTTGACTATAAACTCTGAGTCGCGGTTTCTATCTCCGATCCGGCTTCTTTTCTTTTATTGTCTCTCTGCGTTAACGGATGTATAAAGTATATTTAACCAAGAACCACTGCCGTAATTTGACTTGTTTTATTCCCTTTATTCACTAAAGTGAATTAAGACAATGTTCATATACGAGTGTAAGCAGGATATGTATTTCGTTAGCATCATCATTCGATAAAAATGGAGTCAAGAAAGGGGCATATAACGTCTTAGGTCCCGATGTATTAACTAGTTCTAAATTTGAGAAATTATACCATTCGAAACTTTATTCATCAGATTCTTATACCTTTATGGTATACTATTATATCTAAATTTAGTCTTTCATTCTTTCTATTTGTAAATTTCAAGCGATACCCTATTATGTTATCAGGTTCTATGTTATGTTTTAGTTAGTCATCTAAAGATTATATTTTTGTTAAAAGCTGTACTGTGTATACTTACTATAATTACAACTTTCCTAGTAATACTTCATTTGCCGTTATTTTTCAGATTCGTTCTCTCCTATTCTCGAATTTCCAAACTAAAGATAATTCCAGTGTATGTAATTTAGAAGACAACACAAAAACAGTTGTGCTATATCAAAATAGTTTATGGAATGAAACGGCATTGAAAGAAAATGTTCTAAGTTCAACAGTTATGAATCAGGAATCTACATTAGGCGGACAAACTGTACTTGTTGCTGATTCAGACGATGACGAATAATGTACAATTTCCTGTGATAACATATTATCCCACCATGTATAGATCTTTATTTTCATATACATCAACCTAATGAAGTTATTTTGCGTAGATTAACAATGAATTTCAACAAATCTTCTATTGCATATCGTTTATACAGATTGAAAAAATAGACAAGTTTTTTCTTTTGAAATATACGTATCTTTTCAGTGACACGACTGTGTACTTTTAAATTCTGTGTATAGGCAATTTATTCCCTCAAAACATGCATATCATAAAAAACTTATCAACACCTTTGGTTCATGTCGTTCAATCTGAAGAGCTTAATGGTTTATCATAGTTGTTTCACTATGCAACAATGTAAATAAGACTGAAAGTCTTAGAAATTTCTAAGTTTCAAGCCTTGCATCGATGCAGTTCTAAGCTTCTAATAGGCGTTAACGTTTTTAAGTTTTCACACAGCTCTTTCAGATAGATGATATTAAGTAAAAACCTCAGACCCAAGACTTCTTAATCCCATTTTAAAACACCAGATACAAATAAAGAAGAAAATATTAAGTGTAAATGATCATGTTATGTCTTATAACCGTTGACTAATGCTGCGTTTCAGGTCACCAATCAGAATCCTAATTCTATTTTGGTCTATTTCGCATCTACTGTTTGATTGATAATCTAATGATTCAATTTTAGCAGTTAGATTTACTGATATCATAGCTAGAATCTGGGAACTGGACATAATTCTATCTGACTGGTCTCGATTGCTGATTGTTCCAGTCTATGACAAAAATCATCTTGTGACGATCAAAGGAATCACTTTAAATGTTATAGCGTTCAAAATATTATCCTCAATAATACTTTGAAAGTTAACTAGAGCATGTGGAGAGCAAACTCTGGAAAACCAAGCTGTATGAACCAAATGTTTACTCTTCGGTAGGCTCTGAAACAAACATACTTTTCGACGTCCGACTGTAGTTGTGTTTCTTAACCTTGATGCGGCGCCCGACTCTGTTGATCGTGACGTTCTGTGGCAGTATAGGTAATTGAAAGGTATACCAAAAAGTGCATTAAACTTGTACAGGCTCTCTATTCAAACACTACTGGTCGAGTCAGAGCTTATGGTTAACTGTCGTCGGAATTGGTTACTTCAACTGGTCCTCGTAAGGGTTGTCTGCCTTGGTCATTTTTATTTAACTTTCTTATAGACATCTTTTTATAGATGAAACTTTCAACGCCAGACTTTTCAGGAATTGATCTAATGGGAGATCCACTTGTTGATTTAGAATATGCGGACGATATATTCATTTTTGGTGAAGACCTTGACAAAATACAGTCTTCTGACCACATTAAGGAACAATGCAAGCATGTTTGGTATGCATTTCTGTCCTTCCAAATATGAATTGTTATTTCAGAGTCGACTCGCATCAGTACCTGAATTAATGAGAGGGAATAAACCTTGTGAACACATTGACCGCTTCATTTATCTTAGGAGTCTGATCAGTCCTGATGGTTTAGTGTCTGACTAAATCTCGGCGCAGATTAAAAAGGCTCATTTGGCTTTTGCCAACTTGCTTCACTTATGGAGTAGGCGAGATAACCATCTTCCAACCAAACGGCGAGTTTACTGTACAACGGTTCTCTCTGTTCTACTTTACAAATGAGGAACAAGACTTTTAAGAATGGTAAACATTCATAAGTTACTTGCATTCGACCATAGGTGCCTTCGAAGCATTGCTAGTATATATATATATATATATATATATATATATATATATATATATATATATATATATATATTGAAAATATTTGGGAGAGATCAGGAACCTGGTTTATAGTTGGTTTATGAATATTTTAATGTGGGGAATTCACTGAACATCACAAAACATTTTAGAGGAATCTCTGGATTTCATCTATTTATGAATTCCATCGAATAGATCTTTTATACAATTACTAATTTCATTGAGATCATAGTGTACTATTTATAATAGGTGGTTGGAGAGCAATCTAACTATAGACTTAGTTTTCATGCATTCATTTGTAAAGGGTATATGCAATTTTGATTCACATAAATTTTTTTACTATTTTTATGAGTAAGAAGGAAATGAACATAGTTACACGATCATTAATATATAAGTTATACTAGAAATAATTCTAGATCAAAAGAGCTTCATAGATGCATCAATTATCAATTTTTTCTTCATTTCAACAGAATAAACATGAACGCACATATGTATTTCTATTGAAGAGAGGGATTTTTTTAAAAGAAAAAAAAACACAGTTTAAAACGAAATGTAGATCAAATAGGATTTATTTATTTTTATTAAAATTCAAAGAAGAAGAAAAAAAAAACTATAACAGAAATAATAATGAAAAATATTTTAAATCACATAATGTTTCTGAACAAATAATTGAATTGGAACATTGAACTATGCTTATTTCTGAAGTGTATTATTGTATTGATTCAGGAAATGGAGTCTCTTCTTCTTCTTGTTCTTCTTCTTTTTCTATAAGGTTTTCATTCTTATAAAATGAAGTAGTATGAAACAATTCGATTGAATATGTTTTGTAGCATTTATACAGATATCTGGGATTGTGTGTTTTAATAATTAATGGGAAATCATTCAGATTATAGAGAATGTAATGAATTATAGTTTAAGTTATTTTTGTATTGTCAATGTGATCATTCAGGTTTTTTTGTTAATATTTTTATATAGAATTCAATGCTTCAAAAGATCATGTACATTTGATGATGTTATTGGATTACCTATTTTTCATAACTTATAAGGATATGTATACATATCAATTTATCTACAGAATTTAAGTAGTATATATCAGATAATCATGCAGAATGAGGATATCAAAAAATGAATATAAACTATATAATAACCATTTTTGTTCACATTCTAATCATTTATACAATATTGTAGATGAATTGAAGTAGAATAATGATACATATAAGGTTTATATTCTTTTCATGAACAGACTGATAATTGCGTAGTGCATTATTCTTGTCTATATGACGAAAAATGTAGAAAATATATAAATGAGTTGTCTTCAACTAAAGATGAAGATTTAGTGATAAATGTTTTTACTTTTAAAGAAGAAATATGCTTTATCTAACCTTAAATTATTGGAAAAGATGGAATTATTCACTTGTCTATTGTGTATCAACACTTCAAGTAACTAAGTATTTTTATTATTTTCACATCCGTTTATTTTTACTTAATCTATATTACGTTAGTATTATGTGGTTTGTAGAGTACTAGTATTTATCCGAAATGAGATTTGCAGAAAGTAAGTACGTTTTAACTCCACCTGGAGCCCTTCTATTATTACTGCCGGTCACAGACTCGGATAACTTGAAATTTCGAAGGCAAGAGGAGAAGAAGTAGACCAAAGAACACATTTCTTTGGTATTTGAGGCAGACATCACGAAAATGAATAGAACTTGAAAACGGAATGAAAGTAGACTCAAGAATAGAGTTATTTGAAAAAGCTTGATCAGTGGCCTAAGTTCCTCAAAGAAGAGTAACTGGCGTAAGTAAGTAAGGGAGTAATTCGGTAAGTAAGAGTACTATTCGCTTTAATGCGTTATCTAACTGATACGAGACTTATATCTTCTTCGTGTGAAGATTATGAATGTAATGTCGGCGAATATATATATATATATATATATATATATATATATATATATATATATATATACGATATAAATAATTACAACTGATTCAGTTATAAACTACTAAAATTTGACAAACATGCTACCTTCATTTATTTTGACAAAGAACTATGACAACTTACTAGTTGGTGTCATGAAATAAATAGTTGAAATTGGTCCATCTTCTTTTTCGCTAATCATTTGAGCTTGAACAATGTATAGTGTTTCTTGTTTGAGTCCTTTAAGCTGAAGACCGGGGACATTCTACAAAGTTAATTTAAAAAAGACCACTACAATATGATCCGTTCTTTTGTCTAGTGTATTTCAGTTATTATAGTTTACAATTAATATGGTCAATAATACACATGAACTATTGATGGTAAATAGTAATTAATGTTATATTATGTTATAATAGTAACTAAAATCTATCGATTGACATTTGCAATCTGGTCATCACTTTCGAGAAAACCTATTGGTTATTGCACAGGATACTGTTTTGAATCCTTGAAAGCGTATGAATATTTTATCAAGAATCTTGACTTTTCAGGTGTGTAAGAGTGCCAAGTTCAATGATTTTGGAAGAGCTAATAGTGATGAGGTGGATATGTACTAAATTATCCGGTGATGGGTAACATACTTTAGTCTTCAATACTGGTCAAACTTAATCATCTTATGAAACACCGTTAGAACAGTTGATTTATTCTAAACCTTCTAATGCTTATTAACACATAATCTTCTTCGTTTTTTGGAAAAATTAGTTAAAAAAATAACTAGATTCAATAAATAATTACTAGTTTAGAATTAGTGAAAACCATACTTACTAAATCTAAAACTTTAGACTGAGTTTTTTCTGGATCCATAAGAGGTTGAATAATATTACTGTACACTTCATATTCTATTGGTTCATATAATCTTGGACCCCAAGTTAATCGAACACCACGTATTTCTGGATTCGTAGTTTTTATACTTGGTGTACGATTTTTTAGTGTTCTCGATGAACGTCTTGATTCACTTTTTGAATGTCCAGTAGATGTAACAGGATGCCATGTGACAATAGCAGTGTAGTTAACAGTGTCTAAACTCGATTTTATATTTGTTTGTTTGGATAAATATGGTCCATTGGCTTCAGCCACAACAAGGAATTCATCCATTTGATTCTGTTGTAAACGACGTAGATCCATCGATTTTTCATTAGTTAATAAAGTGTATGTTAATTCAACTGGTTGAAGTATTGATGAAGAAGCTTGATAAGATGAAAAAGTAAAATAAGCTGATGATTATAAACTTGGTTTACAAGAAAGGATTATGTTAAGGGGATTCTGGTTAAGCTTACATTTTTCCTACTGGGTTCTAAATTAAATTAATATATTCTAGTGACCTTGTTCTAATTTCTGAACAGAATAATAACTTTACTATTTCCTGTTATTTTGTAAATCTATTTTCTTGAGGAATGTAAAACGTTATGAGGTGAATTATTTTAACTTTTCCAGTTATTCTATCACTCATATATTTTTCCTTGCCAATTACTTACGTGTAACGTTGACTAACCTTTATAGATTTATGGATGATGGTATCTATGTATCTATCCACTCCCTTTATTGCTTACGTGAATTGGAAAAATCCGAATCACATTATTTGTCTGGTCAGTGTATTACCTAACTTTAATGCTTTGTACATTCACCGCATCTTTGATCCATGGTCTGACTTTCAGCATTAACATGTCTGAAATATACGTATCCTTGGTGCGATTTATATATGACTTTTATTATCTACGTCATATTAACGCGGTATGGCGACAGAATGTTTACGATCTAAATAGGATATACCTTTCATCAAAGTCACTCATCGTCCAATCAGCGCTAGTCGATACTAGGAGAACACTCTAGAATCTTCTCATGTAAAAACTATAAATATATTAACGTTTTTCTTATTGTGCCTCTTACTTTCATCTACCCTTGTTATTTGGAATATCAATTCTTTCCTGTTCAACCGTGTTCTGATTTAGGGACTTAGCGAGTCAATTAGTGTCTAAGAATACTAAGCAATTGGAATAGCTAGATTGTAATAAGAGAGAATAATAACAAAAATGAATTCAGAACAATAAAGTATATTTATCTTAACAAGAAAAATATCAACAAGACACTAAAAAAACATACTTACTTTGAAGATAACAATGTTTCGGAGTTACACCATCTCTAATCACAACATTTTGACATGCTGGTGTACAAAAACAAGTAGTCCATTTAAATAAGATAGGGGATCTGTTATTTGTTAAATGATCATTCATACTGATACTACCAGTTTTATTATGATGATTTAGCGTAATAAATACACTAGCTTCATAATGACATTGAAATTGCAAATCAGTTAAAAGTATATTTCTTAGTTCATATTCCTAAAATAAGATAGAAAATAACTATTTATTAGATAATAGTAATGTATAATATATTAAGTAGTATATTAAAAATACTGTCCATCTATCGAATGTCAGTGATAGATAGATTTCCTCATAATTTACTTTAAGGTAATAAATATGTGCAGGAAGTTCATAAAGTTCAGTATTGATTGAGGAGCAAATTTCAAAGTTGAATATCAAAGGGGTTGATGTTAATTTTTTATAAGCACTGAAAAGAAATAATTTATTATTAAACATAATATGCCCATAACTCGCTGAAGACTATAGTGGATGTGTCGCTCAATTTCGTGGATTAGTTGAAGTTAGATATTAACACCGTTGGATGCCGGCTCAGTGGTCTAGAGATTAAGAGCTCGCGCGCAAAACCAGTGGGTCTTGGGTTCGAATCTCGCAGAACGGGAGGTCATGGATGCGCACTGCTGAGTCCCACAATAGGACGAAACAGCCGTCCAGTGCTTCCAGGTTTTCCATGGTGGTCTAGCTACAACTGACTGATGATCTTAACCATTGAAATTACTAAAATATCCACAAAAGCCATCTGATAATAATAAATATATGTAGGAAGTTCATACGATTCAGTATTGATTAAGGAATAAATTTCAAAGTTGAATGTCAAAGGGGTTGATGTTAGTTCTCTATAAGCACTGAAAAAAAATAATTTATTATTCAAACTAATATGTTCATAACATTGTACAAAATGTGCTTACACACATACAATAATTTGTCACTTTAATAATGGCACAAAAGAAATTATAATGAAATGACTGACTGTTTAAAATACTGTTTATCTCAATATCATCATATGAGTTTCAGAGATAACGGAAGCCGTCCATTCTCATGAGATTAAAGGAGCATTTTGTTGAAAAGTAACAACTGGAAAAAAATACGTTCAGGGCCTTCTTATTGGTAACCTTCAACTGATTGGACAGCTTTCTTTTTAGTGTTTAGTACTTTGAAAGACTCAGGAGGTTTATGAAGTAGAATCACGGTTATTTCTTAACCAATTACATAAAGTGTAGTACACCACTTCAGTATGTAACTTACCTCAATAATGATTGAGATAAGTCCTTTGGTTTGTAGCTAACATCATAGTTATTGAGTATTTATGTACAGTACAAATCATGATGAGGATGTTTCTTTTTTCTGATCAAATTAAACTTAATTTTGGTGAACGTAAATGATTTTAGTTTATGAGAATGCTTACAGAAATTAGCATAAATTTTACAATACAAAATCAAGATAATGAGATATCAGTATATTTTGAAAAGTAATTAATGACAAATCTTCTCCTTCAAGGATATCAATTAACACAAGTTAGTAATTATGTGAACTCAGTAGCTCGGTGGATAATGCGATCGTGTTTAAACTGAAAAGTGCTGGTTGGAGGTCTCCCTATAAACACTGACACTAGGATGTAGATACGTTTAGCTAATGAGTCCAAGATAGAACGAAACGCGGTTCTTGGACGCCACAATACAAATATAATTAAATTTGTGATTACAAGGGTATATGGAGACGATTCACTTAAGATGTACATATGAAAGTGGAGGCTGATAAATTTTGATCAAAAATGGAATATCAACAAATACATTTATTAGTACAAACACTCACTGCTATTCTTTTTCTCCGTGTTCCAATAAATTCTGTATTTGTTTGGTTTTGTGTTTCAATACAAACTCTTGGCATCCATTCAATCATGTAAATGATATTTGCTATTGGAGTAGTTAAATTAAACTGTTCTCTATCTAAAATTATAAGTAAGAAAACACTCATTTATTCATAAAATCTCATCATTCTAAATAATACTCTTAAAATTTATTTTGGAGGAACAGAGTGACAAAGACCTACGTAATTTATTTAGCATTCTATGTCGAATCAGCATCTACCATTCGATTGTATTTCACTTGCTAGATATGGAACACTTGGATTCGAACTAATTGGTCACATGGTGGAACTCAAACGTATTTACTTCACTTTAAGCAGTGAAGTAAAACCGTTTATTACATTGTACACCTTAAGACAGTACAAAATTTTCACTTGATAAATGGGTTACATGAAATGACTGACTAAGATTTACATAGGTTAAATTAATCAGAATAGTAAATCCGATAGATGTAAATTATATGGACGACTTTGAGTGGTATATTTATCAATTAGAAAATAGTTTATTGTTATAATGCAATTTATGATAAATAAAACTGATAAAACTGTAATGGATAACAACTTTTGATAATGAACCTTTTCATAATAGTTGTTTATTACAGTGAAGAGAGAAGGCTTGTGACAGGAATTTGGATCGTAAATTAAGATGTGTAGTTAGGACTAGGTTTTATGGCTAAGAGTTGAGGTTACGGTTTTCATCACGAACTAGGATCCTCCATAATACAAGAGTTAGGATACAAGAGAAATCTTTAAAGCATTCTCACTATCTTTTCTTATGGGTAAACGAATTTCAAGCAAATGAATAAGAGATGATATCTAAGATCTGTTTGACCCTTCCTTAAGGTATAACGTCATTTCAAGAGGTTTCAGATTATAAAAAGTTCAAAAATCTTATTCTCTGATATACAATAAACTTTCATCTTTATTCTGAGAAACGTCTAAGTTCGTTCCGAGTCTTTTTCTTTGTCTCAAATTCTATTGATTGGCTCGATATAATCTATACGCTTTACCTCTGCCCTAAATTTCGTCATTTGTACTATATTAGGATTAAAACGATTTATCCAGATCACAGAGTACATTTTGTGAAAACGATATTGACATTTATAAACAAAGATGAATAGTGGCGAGCAATGGAATCCAGGACGCGCGTTTCGTCCTTTTTGGGACTCGTCAGCTGGATGTACCTACATCTCAGGGTTGACGTTCACTCTGCGACTCGAACTCAGTACCGTTCGCTTCAAACGCCATTGCGTTATCCACTTAGCTACTGAGTGGCTATATCAATGAATGTAACTTACCGCCCACCTTTATGACTTAATTTTTATCGCAAACTAAAACAACCCATAGCTTAGTTTTACATGTCATTCTCACTATTATATTGTTAAAATGATGTCTGGCATCGTACTGTAATAGAAAAAGTTTAGTAATGTTTTTTAAGTATTAAAACAACTTACTTATCTTTACATTCAACGATAAGATCACATTTAGTTGTTGGTTTTCATAATATTGATCAGTAACTGATAAATAATCTCGCTTTGAATCCCCGCACATACAGCTTTCATTTGTTGATATGGAAGTTGTAAATACTGGAATGGAAAAAGGGTGCTTATTATGTGCAATATAAATGTTAATACTTTTAAGTTTTCGCTAATTATTAGCTGTTATTGAATATAATTCCATACTTTTGTATGAGATTAAACTTGCAATTTAGTACATTGTCGCAGTTCACTGTATTAAAAATAGATCTTATTAATATGTTCTGGTGGAGTAAAAACATAGGTATATATAAACGAGAGGTATAAACAGTTACTCCTGTTGTTTTTAGGTCATCGTTTTTGTTCTCTTAGTTTAATGAAGGAGTATCAAAGCGATTTCCAGCGTTAACTACTAAGCATTTGAAGAGTCAAATATTTTCTAATAGTTTGATTAATCCAACCTCTTTAAATGAAAATTTTAAATTAGATTTTATTAAAGCTTAAAACATCTTGATATGATCATCTAGCTTATTAAACTAATGTTTTACTGATAATCATATAGTCATAAATGGTTCTGAACCTTAAAGAAACAAATCATGAACATTTTGTTATTATTATCATTATTCATGATAAGGTTTTGTGGTTAAAGGAAGTCAGTTAGGGCGTATTTTTCGGAACAATGTAGAAATATTTAGCGATGCCTACGACGGATTCAGAATTACAATGAAGTGGGAAATATGGTATAAAGGAGTCTAAAAATGTTAACTAGAAGAAGAAATGTTCTTTACAATGGTACCAAACTATGGAACCAGAATACATTCTTTAATATGTGTTTTAACCGTCAAAACTCGTCAGAATAAGTTGCCTAAGGATTTCTTCAAGCTATAAATACGAACGTTACTAACAAGTAGCCTGTAATCAGAATTTCTTACTCTTGAACTTCAGCTGTCAAAAGCGCAGTCGTAACACGGTCTTTAATCTTACTACTACATGTCATTTTGGTTTGTACAGTCGGTAAAATAACTAGTATGGCTAACACTAAAATAGTTTTTATCAAATAATTAACAAATATTTAGATCAAAGGAAATAGTTCAGGTGAGGTTACCTGCTTCTGTTTGTTGTGATGGAATTTGTATTGTAGATATATAAAGTGTAGCCGGATGACTTTTCATTTCTATTCCTTCAAAAAGTGACACCGCTTTTACCTTAAAAAATTGGACAAAATGGAAAATTACGGGAAATTGAAGTAATAAAATATTCCAAACATTTAGATCTAATGCATTTAAAAGCTATAAATAAAGTGTTTTAGATAAAGGTTATATACTAATTCACATCAATATTTATGTTTCTGATATCCTAATGTTTGACATACATCTTTTTCGATATGAATGCTCATTTTTGAAACAGTAACTCATCAGTAACATCGGTTGAGAGTTTTGGTACATCAAAATATTTATTAAGATTAGTCTTGATAAAAATGAGGAGCTAGTATAGTAGGCTGGTTTTACTATAATTCATTTTAACCTATGAACAATAGAAATATAGTTAAAAGTACAATGATGTTCATGATATTATCAACTTATTGGCGAGACTATAATTTATAGACGAACCAATCAAATTTAAGACAACAGGTCTTGAATTCTAACACGAAATTCATTCACCCATTTGGCTAAATAGCATTTTGGCATTATAGCTGATGTCAGTTCGTGATGAAAAACTATAAATCTAATTCCTACCCCTAACCATCAACTGTGAATCATAATCCTTAATCTTCAAACTGCTTTATAATTCTCATTTAGCTCTAGTAAGTTGGTAGACACTCTTAACGTCACTTTAGCGTCGTTCAAAGGTCGACCATAAATAATAGTGCCACCGATTAACCAAACTGCTTTAATATTTATTAACTATCTCATCAGTTAAAACTAATTTAATATTTATTCAGTTATTTTTTTCATATCATATTTACATTGAAACATTTAAAATAAAGGGGTATTGCACAAAATTTCCTACAATAGTCAGTTTGTAGTTTGAACATTATAAAATCTTTTTCATATTATCACTAAATATATAACTTACTTCAATCTTATACGTCGTTCCTGGTTTAAGATTTTGTATTAAGTACACTGTTTTATCCTAAAAACCGAAATAAAAAACTCAAAGTATAATTTGTAACTTGTAAGTTTCGTTTTAAAACTAGATCTTTTTACGGAGTGGAATAATTGGATAACACGATGACGTTTGAAGCAAACGGTACTGAGTTCGAATCCCAGAGTGAAGGTCAAATCTATGATGCAAGTACACTTATCTGACGAACCTCAAATAGGAGAAAACGCGCGTTCTGAATTCTACTACTAGCCACTATCCATTTTTGCTTATAATCCTTGTGACTTAAGGCGATAGTGATGTAATCCACAAAAAAAGCAAATATACAAATAAGAGAGATTGATCAATTGCAGTTCAAAACATCGATGGGAGGATTCAAGTAAACAATACCAAGTGAGTTTAATTTTCTATACTTGCCTACATGATAATGAATCACATTATACTGACTGAAATAAGAATTTCGCCTCAACAAAATGTTACATAAATCATCAGTGTTTAGTAAGTAACTTAGACGTATCTCTATCGAGATTAGTTTGAAATCAATGCATCATTATAAATCATCTTTTTACGAAAAAAGAAATAATAAATAATACTTATTTCAGTATAACTGTATAATCTAAATTAGATATGAAGATTATTTTTGTTATGAATTAAAATCCTTTGGAGAAATTCAAGTAGAGAGTGGAAAGGTAGGAGACTTTCATGTTGAGGTTGTTCAACAGTCGGCATCAAGGATCTTTTTTGTAGAGAGTCGGATCTAGGGTGTTCAGATCTTCAATGAAACATGCTAGCATGATGGCAATGCGTTGAAATACATTCTTACAATTCATTTGACTAATATGTTCGAAACACGTTTCCATTTGATTTACAACCAATTTAAACTTCAAAAATGATTTCAAGTAATTAGAGTGGTAAAAAATGTAAACGTAAAGAAAATAATTGTCTTACAAATTGGTTTTTTTTCGTGATCTGGTGAGATTCAATGGGTTGATAAATATTTTAGTAACTTTTTAAACTACTACAAAAATTGTCAGTAACATAAAACTCACAATCAATAATTTTGTTACATGAACATTTTCATTTATTAAAAAGAATGTTTCAGCGAAGAAATTTTTCTTCTCGACAATATCATTTTCTGAAGCTATGCAATCATATTTATAGGTAATCTTTTACATACATACTAACTTACGGCAGTTAATTTACGTGAAATATAGGCCACTGATAAGGCTTCTTCAAATAACTCTATCGTTGAGTCTACTTTCAGTCCGTTTTCAAGTTCTGTTCATTTTTGTGATGTCTGCCTCAAATACCAAAGAAATGTGTTCTTTGGTCTACTTCTTCTCCTCTTTCCTACAAAATTTCAAGTTAGCACTTGTCTCATTATACAGTTTTGTGATTTCTACAATGTATGTCTTATCCACTTCCAATAACTTTTCTTAACTTCCTATTCAGATGGAAGATGGTTTGTTCTCTCCCACAGTAGGCTGTTGCTCATAGTGTCTGGTCAACGGACATTAAATATCTTTTGTAGATAATTGTTCAGAAATACTTGTACATTTTTGATAATAGTTGTGGTAGATGTCCAATTTTCAACTCCATACAGTAGAACTGTCTTGACGTTCATATTCACTTTGACATGGATTGTCAGTTGTTCCTAGTTTCATGTGTTATTCAATAGTAGGAATGCTGTCCTTGCTTAGCCAATCCTTGAATTTACATTTGTATCACATTCTCTTTATTTGTCAATGATGCTGTTCGGGTACGTGAAATTTTCCACCTGTTCCAGAGCTTTTCCAACCAGTGTGATTGTATTGATGATCGCTTTGTTGTATTTGAGGACCTTGCTATTTTCCTTGTATATGTGGAGGCTTTTTCTGTAGGGCCTGATACTACGCCATCTGTCTTGACCTGGATTTGTTGGTGTGTATGGGATAGAAGAGATAGGTGATCTATGAAGCCTGAATCGTCTAGTTGCATCCAACCTGTCTATTGTATTTCGTGTTTCCTCTGAGATGTGTAAGTCTTCATAATCCACTCAATCACTAGAAGAAAGAGAAAGGGGGATAGTAATCAGCATTGCCTGACACCGGTTCTCAGTTGGAATGAGTCTGTCACTTGTCCTCCGTGCCTAAATTTGCAGTGTGATTTGTCATGAGGATTCTGTATGATGGTGACGATCTTCCCAAGTACACCGTAGTGTCGAGGAATGTTCCATAACATTTTCTTATTCATGTTGTCAAATACCTTCTCGTGATAAAAGAAGTTGAAATATGTTGACGACTCCAATTAAACTGATTACTTAACAGTGATCCTTAGCGTCGTGATATGGTCAGTTCACGACCGATCCTTAAGGAATCCGATATTGTGATTTCGAATTTGGGCGTCTCCTTTTCTTGGTATCTTGATGAGATATAGTTATTTCCAGTCTATCAGTGGCACTTGTTCCTCCTCTCAAATTTTTACATGCAGTAGTCTATAGTAGAGTAAATGGGTTTTACTAAATTATCAATGATATGTAAGAAAAATCTCCCTCTTTTTCCGATAATGAATATTCATGATTACCCATACTACGCGATAACCAACTGGCTGTTGGGAATTCTACAACTGGTCAGAAACTAGATCTGCAAACATGGCATCTCAGACTTTTTCAATTACGTGAACTAATTAACCAACGTCAATATAACAAGAAAGAAAATGATTTTATTGTATGTCATTTTTTTATTCCTAAACGTCTCACTCACAGGAATCGTTTGCTTCTTTCGTGTTTATATTGACCATATTAAACTCAAGCATTGTGTACAGAGGAGTTATGCTTGATCCCGTATTGTCTCATGGTCTTAGCATCCCTTCGAATCTTAAAAATTATAAATGCTAATTATTATTATCTTTTTCTTCTCCTCCTCTTTTATCAACTAGACAGATATCTTTATCTTTTACCCCATAGTTCATTACTTTTTATTACTTCTGAAACTTTTACATAACGTAAGCTCTTAATAACTATTGATTACTTTGTTGAATGGTGCAACCTTTTTTATTCAATGCTTGAAAATCCTAATTACATTGAAATAACACTCTTCCATCTGTAAATTATTACTTAAAATACTTGAAGACTTTTGATAATCTCGATGCCACTCCATTTTGATTGACTTCGAATTGAATAAGTTTGACCATCTTGGATAATTTTGTAAAACAGTTCTATTTTACTACAGACTATTACATGTAAGAAATTGCCTGTAAATATGATTGTATAACTTCAGAAAATGATATTTTTGAAAAGAAAATTTTCCTAGCTGAAACATTTTCAATCTTTTTAATGAATCTGTAGACTAATTTCATTTATAATGAAGAGACGATGTTCATTCAGATCTCATAATTGAATGTTTATAATCATATTCACCAAATGGTACCGAATTCGACAAAATATACACTGGGATTTACTCCTTGTAAAAATGTTTAGGAAGGTAGACATTGCTCAATTTATATTACTTTGTCATGGCAGGACTGAACATTAAGTTAGTCGTACTGTAACGTTTTCATGATTCAACGTTAGTTGAGTGATATTTTAAGACAAACGATGTTAGTCTTTTCATATTTTTTCTATTTTCAGCGGTGCTCATGCTTAATTATTTTCAACATTGATCTTAGAACTATTGCTTGTTGGTCAGAGAACTATATGAATAAACATTTGGGTTTACTTTTCTAGGTTTATTTCTAAACTTGTCTCAGTATAATGCAGAGCAGGTGAGTGAACACATGATTGACCTAACAAATCAGTATTTCATAGATTTAATAAAATATTTGTTTAATTCTTTCTATTGCTTTTCCCATAACGTTTAACACTGAGCAACATAGAAAACTCCAGTATCTTTGACTAACATCCAGTATAGAAGTTATGTGGTTTGAATATGATAAAGAACTGATTGACAAACATACCCCAGGTACATTTGCTGTGTATTCCGTTAATGAACTTCTGTCTTCTCCATTAAATGCATAGTATTGACGCCATATTATCTGTTCATAAATAATAAATAATAAGTTACATTCATAGTTTAATAGTAGTACTTGCTAGTTAATTACTTATAAAAACTTTAAATTGATCTTGAAATATATGCACGGATGAATTTATCTGGAAATAATAATACTACTAGTAAGTATTGAGTATATACAGTTTATTTTATATAAACTGTTTTATACTACTAGGCTGGTGATTATGAAAACTAATTTTAGTTCGTCGCATGAATATGCCACATTAATGTTAACTTGAATTGTCATTTAACCGGTAATCATTCTATCCTATAACTTGACATCTTGAACAGTGGAGATATATATGAAGATCTTCAGTTACATTAACAAAATAGTTTTAAATAAACCCAAGTAGAAACGCATATTGGTTTATCATTATGTAATCATTTTAAAAAATCAACAAAACTATAAGAAGAAATTGAAAACTGAAGGGAATGCTATAGATGAAGTAAAGTAACATATATGAAGCATGATTGAAAGATTTTAGATATGATGAACACCTTCAAGAACTGTTTTTAGCTATATAGTTCAACTAATGAATTCATTATTCGGGAAAAAACCAACCAGGAAATTTACAATCCGTAATTAGTGATATAGATCTGTTTTCATTAGGCTTTCATATAAAATTCACATTCGATCCACCTGTATAGGTAGTTATTCAAAATTACGTCAAACAACCAAATCAGCTCAAGTTGAAAAATTCATTGAATTTCTTCATTCATTGAGCTTCTTCATCTTACCGATCACTATTGTTATAGTGTTTAACTTTTTAACAGTGTTTAGACAGTACATGAGTGGTGTGTGTTGCTGATGCCGACAGATATAAGTAGTATATATGACCAGTGGAAAGTAAAATGCATGACGGCAAAATGTTGAGAAAATTGAAGAGAAGAGAAAGAGAGAAGAGAGTGATTTGCACGGAAACAAAGTAAAAATATAGTCTGAGATAATTGATGTATATTTTACAAATGAAGTATTTACTGTACGGTCCTCAGATTTTACCAGGATATTCTGTAATGTCGAATTAATATACATTCGACTGTCCCCATTGGTGTTCTCGTGCACTATACGTGGATGACTTATTGTTGAATCGTTTTTATGTATCATTTATTCAGGATAAGCAAATTTTGAAGTTGCAAATCATGTTTGAAAGAACTGCTACACAGTAAACTCGCTTTTTTAGGCATCTAGATAATTTGCGATATTCCATAATTTTAATTTAAAAAGAAATTCTTCACTATCAATGTTCGAAGCAAGAGCAGCATTCATACAGTTGAAAAACATATGGAACTCAAAACGACTGACAAGTAATATCGAAGTCAGAATTTTCAATACGAACGCCAAGACAGTTCCACTGTAAGGAGTTCAAACTTGAACACCCACCGCAACTATCATCAAATATGTCAGGTATTTATAAACAGTTGTCTACAAAATGTTCGTTGATCGGATGCAATCAACAATGACCTACTATGGAAGAAAACAAATCATCTTCTATCTGAATAGGAAATCAGGAAAAGTTATTGAAAGTGGATAGCGCATATATTTATAAAAATCATCAAACTTCATTAGGATATAAGCCCTAACTTAGAATCCAGATAGGAAATGGAAAAGAGGAAAACCAAAGAACACAATGCACTGTGAATTGAAAGCAGATATTAAAAAGATGAATAGCAACTGGAAAGAACTTTAAAGGATTGTCCAGGATAGATTGGAATGAAGAATTCTGTTGTGTGGCCTATGTTCCTCCACAAGAGGCAGCAGGCGTAAGTAAGTAAGTAAGTAAGTGATCAATGTTCAAAATAGTAACCTTTGAAATTGAAACTGAAGATTCCAAGGAAATTTCAATTCACTTAAACAATTACTGATCTTTTATTCAAATTAAATTTTATAATATGAATAAAGAGATTAGTTATTCTTTTAAAAGTGTTCAATTAAAAGTTTTCATGGAAAAAAATTCATGTTATACAATAATGGAAATAAGAAACAAAATGAGAAAGCAACATGTCGTCAAGTTAATAATCATCAATATATATATCTGTCAATCAACTTCAATGAAACAGAACACATGGGTTTATTGAAATAAACAAACTAGAATTAATTAGTTTAAGTGTTACTGATCTATAATTGATTTATCCTAAATTGATTAATTGATATGAATGATTACCATTTTGATTATTGGCTTAAAATAAAAGATGAAGTATTTAGCTAATAAATAACTGAGAACTATGAGAATCAACTAAAAAGAAAATTATTCAGTTTTAAAAATCAATACATAACAGTAACAAAGAATAAGTGAATAATAACTGCTACGATCTATTCGCATGACTATAATTTATGGACGAACCAATCAGATTTAAGATAATAGATCTTGGATTTTGGAGCGAAATTCGCTCATCCATTTGACTAAATATCATTTTAGCTGTTATCAGTTTGTAATGAAAATCTTAAATCTAATTCCTAACCATAACTATCAATTGTAAATCATAATTCTATTTCTTTACTTCGGTTTATAACCTAGTAAGTGAACATCCTCAAGGTCACTTTAGTGTCGCTCAAAAGTCATCCATAAATTATAGTTTCATCCATATTTCTTTTATCATAAGCTTTCATTTGACCTATTGATTATTATTATACAATTTTCTATTCTTAAGTCATTCTAAATTTATCAGCAAAAGTCTCTCACAATCACAGCCACTTTTTGGCTTGATCTTGTATAATTGTTGTTTTCTATTTCGTGATATGATGTGGTCTGATTTGTCTGTATATAAAGTGCGTATGTCTGAAATGCATGATTCATATAGCAGAGACTTATATTAGCGTTCTGGACCAAACCGGCTGGATTAGGAGAGAAGCTACTATCTGGAGGAACCAATAAGATTTCAGAGTGACTCTAGGCTGCTTGTACTGGTTTATGTGTCATTGATCTGGTCGGTATTCTAATTGGCAATCTTATCACGTGATAGTTAACAGATCATAAAATACATAACATTTTTTTTTCTTTTGTTTTTGAAAAAATAATATGATTTCTTTATTAAGCCTTACTTCCTATTAACACAATGATATGTCGGTTTGTTATAGAATTACAGTTTTAATACTCTAAGGCAGCCATTCAAATAAATAATAATTAACATCACGACATATTGTGATATGAAAAATTGTAGTTTTATGGTTATTGATGGTTTAGTTGTGGAGCTTTCATTGTTCTTCTGAACGACATCATTAGCACAAATTTCAAGTAGAAGTAAGAAGAACGATAAAAATTCTAAGATCAAACCATCCAGCTCAGAGAACTAAACTCCATTAAAATAATCTCTCTTGAGCTATAAATCTTCACCATCTCAAAACTGAAATTATTATTTCTAGAATTATTTAAATAGTTACTAATTCCAAAACCTTTTTGTATAATGACTGAGTCAACTATTTTTGAGAATATCAATTAAAGAATTGGAAAATAATTAAACTTTACTGGTTAAATTACCGAGTTAATTGTTAGAAAATGGAATGTAAAATCTTATGATAACTTGTTATCTCAATAGCTTTCGTAACTTATCTGCTTGCTGTACAACCTCATAATACTACTGCTCTTTCTCAAAAGTAGGTGTTTATTTTTTATCTGTATGTATATCATGGATTAACGTCAAACACGTTGTTTCTCATATCAGTAGGTGTAAATCGGAATCGACGTAGTCTTTTATCCCCGATTTGAACCAAATCGATAGAATGTATTTTTTTAGTATAGGGTTGTACAAATTGTTAAATTTCATCGAAATCACATATCGATCGAAGTTTTACAACCACTGAAAGCCTGAAAGCATTGGAATATCACTTCATCACAGTATGGTACTTCTCAGAATTGAGTATCCGCGACCCTGTAACTGGGATTCGAACCCAGGATATTCAATCTTGTGTGTGTATGCCTGACCTCTAGGTTGTTGAGCCTAGATCTAATGGTCTAACTTCAATCAATTTGCGATATTATGGAACTGTCTTTCATTGTCTTCAGTGGGTATCTTCCTCACACCCGATACGGTCTAACTTCACTAGTCACCGTTTCTCATCAGAACTCCAGAAATTGTCTCACGAAGCTAGTCACTGGTGAGCACATAGTGAATTTTATCAATAATTTAAAACTCAAAAATAGTTAGCTACTTTTAGGAATTTTGCTTAGTGCAATGAGCAAACGAAGTTATTCTAAAAGAGATAAATTTGGAAAGCGTACTTTGAACAGTATGACTATATAGTGTTTTACGAAGTCGTTTAATATGAAAAAGAAGTTAGTTTGTCAAAACAAATACATGAATAGTAATAAGGTATATGAAAAGTTAGCATCATTCTAGCCGTACAATCGATGGCGATGAAATGATTGTGTGAATTAGATCGAAATCAGTTAGAGTCATAGTAGACAAATGGTTGACAGCCATGAACTTTAAAGTCAAACATCAGAATAAACAAATCATCGAACTATCTTCAAAAAAGTCTTGAAATCTCCATATAAAAGCTGTTTGAAGGTTACGTTACCGTTTATGGAACCTTAAGCTATCAGAAAGTTCAAAATACTTTTAGTCGCTCAGAAACATCTTGTTTTCACTTTACACCTGACCTGTCATTAATTCATTCTCATACACGGAGTGATCCGCGAACTGGCTAATTTCGTTTACTCTACATTTATATTCCTTATTATAACTATTTATTTAATGAACGTTAGATGTGTTTTCTCGTGAAATGGTTTAATGCATGGTAAATTTGTTCGAATTATATTGGTTAAATGAGACACCTCATCCCAGATCATAATTTTTTATTACACTATAAAAAACTAAGAATGTTTTCCAATAAAATGTTTTGACAGAAAAGTGCTAGCAATAAAGACATTCAGCTGAACGCTGAACATATTCAAATATGATGATTTTGGCTAAAAAATAAAAGTACTTAGGGGTTTAGGAAGAAACAATCAAAATAACGTTTACCTTACCTGGTACTTTTTGAGCGGGAACATTATTTCTTCTGGAATATCCCAATGAATTGTACTATCTACATGATTTTCGAAAATTCTTGATCGTATTTCCGTGAGATTTCGAGGTCGAGATGGTGGAATTAATTGAACTTGTGTACGAATAGGCTCACTCGGTTCACCCCATCCTCCAAAACCTTCACTTGAAATAGCTAATAAACGAAACTGATACCATGTTCCTGGATTGAGATCAGATAGAACTGCCCCGAGTTTTGTAGTCTGTTGACAAATAAACCAGTGAAGTAAACAGTGAATAATTATTTCATTGTTTCAAAATATCATGTTTACATAATTCAAATAAACCATATGATAAATGGAAAATGTTTTCAGTCTTTTTATTAATCTCAAACAAGCATTGTCGAGACTATAATTTATGGATGAACCAATGGGATATAAGATAACAGGTCTCGATTTTTGCGAGAAATTCACTTATCCATTCGGCTAAATAACATTTTGGCATTATAGATGATGTCAGTTCGTAATGAAAACCATAAACCTAATTCCCACCCCTAACCATCAACTGTAAATCATAATCCTAATTCCTCACACTAGTTTACAACCCTCATTTGGTCCTAGTTATTAGGTGAACACTTTCAAGGTCACTTTGACGTTATTCAAAGGTCCTCCATAAATTATAGTTTCACCCAAGTATTTTGTGCAAAGTAATCTGTTTGAAGTTGGTTTACATCACTGACTGACATTAGCTAACGAACCATTAAAAACTAAGTATCATCGAACGGCCATCCATTTCTTAATAGTATGGGACTTCTCGAAATTGCAGAGGTACCATATTACACGTAAACCAGTTTAGAATGTTGAGGTACCACAACAATTCTGACTATCTTAGTCTACTATTTAAATCCCCTTCAATCTCCAATATATGCGTTAGACTAGTGAATACAATTTATGACTTATTATTAATAATAGATCACATTAGATTACTGATAACAATATCAAATATATTAGTAATGAAAGCAGAATTGGAAACATAATGATAAAGTAAACTAGAATTTTAATACAATAAATGCGTCAGTAATAAGAAAAATAATCATTAAACGTTATGTAATGCAGAATAAAAGGTATATAAATGAACAAAGTCCAATTACTAAGTAATAGAGAGAATATATGAAAGGAATGAAGATTAATAAAATCGTTTACGAGTTATTTGCCTAGCTATAAGAATGATAGAGACGTTAGGAACATTTTCTTAGTTTATAAACCATTTCTACTAATAAAACACTTTGTTTCACTTTCATGTTATTTAAAAAGCTAAAATCACTTTGAGAGCATAATAAATAACTTTAAATGGCTCATTCCTACTTATCACATGGATACTACTGATTAAACACTAGAAAATGGGTTTCATTTGATAACTCTGAACATAACAAGGATACACTAACTAATTCTGTAAGTGTACTCTTTCATTCATACATATACGTCCACATAGACAATAATATGATACAAGGATGGACCACACTTTATTATAGATTAATAGTTTTGTGTAAATAGTGACCATTCTTTTCAGTAAATTGTTTCAGATGCAGAATTTTCAAAATTTTTTAGTTTATTGAAAACACTAACCTAAGTATTATGAAATTCCTTACGAAATAGAAGATACTTATGTTACTAACCAATATGTCAATTAGTTTTCCCAAGTTTCATAGACTTTTAATGATTTTCATTTATGCATTTAATTTGTTTATTAGTATATAGTTAAATAAATATAACATAAGAATAACATTATCTTACCCAAATTAAGTTTGTCCATTTGTCAAATAGATATTCATTTGGTTGTGATGACTCAATGAAATTATTCAATGGTAAAAATGATACACTATTAATAGATTTATGTAAAGGGGAATTTAACGTTTGTACAGTTGAATACATTCGAAGTTGAATAAGAAATACAATTGGATTATGCTCATTAATTGATAAATTATAATAATTTGGCCAATCTAATTCTAATTGATTATGTTGTGCATTTGATAAAATATTGGAACGATCTAAATGTGTATAGAATTTACCATTTGAATGTAAATGAATAGGATTTTCAACTTGTTTAACAATTGGTTTCCCAGGTACTGGTGGAACAGCTGTAAAAATTAAAGAGAAAATCAATATTTACTGATATAGACCTTTTATATGTATACATTTATATAAGAGTAATTAAGAGGTATTAGTTATAAGAAACTGTTTATACTAAGCCAAATTATAATATTCTCAACATTTAATTGATATTTTAAGATTTAATGGTCATAGTGTAGTGAACAATAACACCAGTGGGGACAATCGAATGTATTTAACACGAATCACAGGACTTTTTGATAAAATCTAACGATCATGAAGTAAATGCTTAATTTGTAAAAAATATCCACCTCTCTGCTGTCAGACCTTCTGTTCACGAATAACATCATATACTACTTACGTCAATATAAGTAGCACATGCCTCAATAGTAGTTACTATTAAGAAATAACGATACATTTTTAATTTGATAAAAACCTAAGTTTTCTATTTCCTGTATGAGACCCAACATTACAAGTTTTAAAGGACCGTTTAGTGTATTTTAACTTTCAGTTATTCATTAAAACTAAGGTACAGACTCTAACTCATCAAATTAAAGAATGTAAGGTTAGGTTTGTAGTGCATGACTGCCAAAAAAATGTTAGCTTTCGTTCTAGGCCCTGTTGATTTGGAAGATGATATAATATTAGTGTATATAAGGAAGTATGGTTCCATTAGAAATTTATTTTATATTATCTCAAACAATAAAATATTTTGAAGTATGTTAAAAACACAAATGATAAGAACTTATTTACTTTTTAACTCATTCTAAAGGGATTCTGAGATAAATCATTTGACCAATTGTTCACAAGATCATAAAAACCTCATGTAGCCAATGCAATACAATTGACTATTAAAAGTTAAGTTATGGTGTAACGATTTTAATGCATCAGTGGTGTATATCAATAAATTTCAATGAGAATGTCATTATCTTTGGGTGGTAATAATAGTCATTAGTATTTGAAAGAGTGTTTATAATAATGATTTCTAACCCTATTGAGTTTAAGAAGGTAAACTAATTTCACATTATATGAATGAATTTCTTTATGAAGTCTACTTCGATATTAAAATATGGAAATCTTTAAATAATTATTGAGTATCCATTATTCATTTTAAAAAAAGAGTGAACATGAAACATACTACTGATATTTATGATATGCATTCATATTGGTTTTGATAAGTAAAAATACTCATAGTTAGTCGAAGAGTAGTTCAATTACATCTCGATATTTAACTCATACCTTTAACCATACTTTAGTTATTGTCTGTTCATGTTCATGTCTATCTTCAACATTAAAAAGAAAATTAGTTTAGTTATGTGAAATCATATATATTGAAATGACAGTATTAAACAGAATACATTACTTGTTTATCCTTCTACACATGATAAATACTTTTTAAAGAATCAATAATGTTTCTTTCATCTAGTTTAGGAAATAAAGTTTTGTTAAAACATTTTATGAGCATTTCTAAAATAGATCTATTAGGATAAAAGACCCATGTGGTTAAATCACTATATAAATCAAGTTATCCTTACAGATTTTATTATATCAAAACTACATGATATAATATACTTTGACATGAAACCACTGTATTATCTATGGAGATATAATTTGTTTACTTTGCAGATACGTAGAAAATAACTAATTATTCATTAACATACCGACTTTATAGGTGATATATATGTATAATCTATAAATTATACTTAATGACGTGATTTAATGAAATGTAGTGATAGAATACCTGTGGGAATTTACATAAGTCTATTGAAAACAAGTTCTTTGTCATTCAGTCCGGTAAGCAACTGTTTAGAGTAATAAGTGAAACAAAACGAAATACATCATTGTAATTGAATTAGTTAAAGTAAATCGACAATCTGATTGGTTTAAGATTGGGATTAATGATCAAAATCTTAACTAAAAAAACTGTTTCACCACACTATATATGAGTATGTATTTACATCTATATTTTGTCACTATTTTTAATATCTAATCTGTTTTTCCACACTAATTCTATAGAACATCTAAATACACTTTTATATACAAATTATTCTATTTTATTGCTGACCGAGTGTATAATAAATGATCAACTAACATTGATCACATTTTATAGATTGTATTTATAATATAAGACGAAATAAATCTATGGCACCGTCATTTTTGTTTGATGATAGATGACTGTTTGAAAGTGCTGAACCTTGGTTTTCTATAGGTCATTAGTCAGTAACAATGGCGCACATACAATTTTGAGAGAACTGAAGCTCCTTTAGGGAGTCTAATCCCTGTGCCACTTCTTTATGGTTGCTTACCATTGTCTACCGTCAAAAACGTTCACCATGATCTCCAATCAAGTCGCATTAATAGTCTCATCACATTTTATATATGATCAACGGAACTTGATCAGTTTTGAAAATGAAAAATCAAATTATATTTTCAAAAAAAAAATAGATAGCTGCATCAAATTTTACATAGAAAATGTTTTTCTTGTTTAATATTTCGTAAGAATGAATATACATTTCATCTTATGTGCCAATTATTTATCCTTACAACTTACCATTCATGTTTAGGAACAAGACTGTTAGATAAATTGTTACACATTACATTTCGAAAACAAATATGAGCTAACGAAATACCACTTACCTTAACACCGATTTCATGTTTCATATTAAATATAAATCATAAATTTACTCCTCAAATGAAAATAATTACTATCAGAAGGGGTTTTGGAGAGATTGTAGTAACTTCAGTGGTTGAGATCATGAGCCAACCACCATGGAAAACCTGGAAGCAGTGGACGGTCCTTTCGTGCTATTGTGGGACTCCTCAGCACAGTGCTCTGCGTAATGCTTCCAGGCTTTCCATGGAGGTCTAGCTTCAATTGACTCATGACCTGAAATATTGAAAATAATTACGTTAATAAAGGTAACATAAATTTACTCACTTTGAGGATCATAAACACCTTGACTGCATACACCAATTTTCGTAACATTTTTAATATAATTAACTAATCTTTTCTGTTGTAATTTTTCGAAACATTTCAACGTTTGACAACATTTAGTATAACCATACGGTATACAATCAGCATTATGTTTACACGTATATTCACATGATTCTGGCCATGTATTTAAACGAGGACAAATGGCATTATTTGGATTATTTTTTAATTGATCTGATTGACTGTAAACTTGTTGAGCTGTATAACATGATTCTAAACATGTAGATTTAATATTTTGTGATTCAAGCACAGGGACTGAAGATGACGATGAGGAAGATGACAAGGAGTGGGATGATATGGACAGTGATGATGATGATGACGCGGATGATAATACTGTTGACATAGAGTTACTTATTTCATTTGAATTTGACATGGAAGTGTATTTCTGAGTTATGTCAAAATACAGAATAATCAAAACATTATCGATGAAATGAAAGTTATCAGTGAAGTTAAATGCATATATTGCTTAAGAACTGAATAATTTATCAAGAAAATAATTTAACCAATGTTATTATCAATTTTATAAAATGATAAGTAATGACTTAATCAGATCACATTATTACGAGCAGTTAATTAATTAGGTAGACATTCATCTACATCATCTTCTCATTAATAGTGTTGTGTGATTTAAATAATCCAATTGGATGAATAGTTAGTTGTTAAACTGATCAATCAGTTTTTCAACGGATTTCTTCAATTACAACTTTAGAGTTGTTTATAGTATGTGCCCAATGATATGTGCTTGGTACTTAATGTTTTATTTTCTGAAGTTACAAGGATTCTACTGGTTTTACATTCGGTTGGTATATAAATAGTTAATTATTTCCAAGTAAACGTTCTCGTCAAGTTAAACGTATAACCGCCAAAATAATTTTAAGCAATTTATTAGCAAATCAAGAAAGTTACAAGTCATTTATCAATGGAAGTTTTCCTAAGTAAGTATTTTGTATTTCTCACCTATGGAGAGACTAAGACTTTACATCCATTTTTCGAGCAATTTTATTTAGATACTTACCGTCAAATGAAGCTGATTGGGTCATAGTTCTAACTTACATAAACTTACATTACAATCGATCAATAAATGGCTTTTGTGTATTATGGCTTGTAATTAGTTTCAGATGATGTTAGTCAATATTTCAGTGTCATATAATGATAAGAATTGAGTTGTATTACCTTAACAGTGAAAAGTAATTATGAAGCCGTAATTCGGTTAATTCAACCCAAAAAACAACTATCACTTAACGGTGACAGTCCGTTTTGTATCATTTGTATATTGAATTGTAAATATAGTTTGAAAGAATTTACGTCAAATTTGTTTGGTAGAATTCTATCGGCTTCAGTTACTAAATAACACTGAATATAACTCAGTGATCCATTAATGAGAATTTTTCGTCTTTAAAATATATCAATATCCAAAAGAATACCTTCGTAGTGACCTCTCTGTTCGCAATACCGAATGTTTTGGGTTTAAATCCTGCGGAGAAATAAGGTCCTTCAAAGTCTTTACATATTATTTTATGAAGACTTCAATCTGTCAAGAAGCCTACATTCAGCTCTTCTTACTTACTGAATTGCATAACTTACCATCAAACATAGTGTATTCTCATTTCAAATCACTACTCTGACTACCAGCATTTCAAACAAAACTGTTAGAATTCAGATAATAATAATGATTACAATACATAACGTTGATTACCACTACATATCTTTATATAAATCATCATCATCATTACTGTTTTTATGATTGAAATAGAAGAAGGATCAGTGAACAGTTACCGAATAAATAAACGTCAACAATTGGTTATTTCAGCATAGAATCAAAATATGAATTATTTTCTAGTTTTGATATTAAAAGAAAAATGCTGATTCTTAATTGAATAAATATGACAATAAGAAAAGCTTAAATTTATATTATATATATATATATATATATATATATATATATATATATATATATATAGAGAGAGAGAGAGAGAGAGAGAGAGAGAGAGATAGATAGATAGATAGATAGAGAAGCTGTGACCAGTGGAACTAATCTGTGTCGGGTAGATACGAGTATCTACCTCAGTATTATGTAAGACTGTCGTGCGATTCCGTGAATTGGTTGAGGTTAGACATTAACAACATTGGATGCCGGCTCAGTGGTTTAGTATGTTAAGAGTTCGCGCAAAACTGAAGGCCCTGGGTTTGAATCCTGCGAGAGGAATCGTGGATGCACATTGCTGAGGAGTCCCACAATAGGACGAAAAGGCCGTCCAGTGCTTTCAGGTTGTCAGTGGTGGTTTAACATCAATCGGTTCATGATCTCAATCAGTAATCTCCATAACTCTATACTGACAAAAGAATTAGCCAATTAAGCACATAGAAACTATAGGATATGTAAACTTAAGAAAAAAACATGAGTTAAAAATTCCAATAATACCTGGTATAATGAATAAACTAAAATTAGATAATGAATAATAAGAAAAAGATATAAATTGAATCTAAGTTAATTAGTTTGCCTTATAATCAAAAGAAGAATCAGATTACATTAACTCACTTCATGATTAACTAATTAATTAATCTGTTTTTTTTTAAAATGACTTTTTCTATTAAATGAGAAACAATTAAAGGTAGTGTTCAATGTATTTCTTTAGTTAACATTCTATTTCGTATGTTTTTCTTTTCAGTGGTTAAATAAAATATAGTATCGTTCTATTACGGAACTTCTCATCAGTGCGTATCTAGTGCTTCCAGGTTTCCCATGATGATCTAGCTTCAACTGACTCGTGATATCCACTATTGAAATTACTATAAAATATCCACACAAAATACTCCTTTTGACATTAGAATATATTATGTTTTAAAATAACCAAGGGAAGATGAATGTTGATATAGACTATTACAATATATGGAAATCTATTTAATGAATTTAATTCACTACATATTACAATAAGAACATACTTTGTATGGAATTTATAATATTCGACCATAAGTATATGAATTAATAATAATAAGTTTAGAATAAGATAAATGAATTTAATTTTGTTAAGCACAAATACAGATCGAAATTTGTAGGCACCATATCATCACTGTCTTTTCAAATTGAACTTGAGTGTGATCAATAGTTCTACACCACTTAGTTCAAATATATTGATCAATATTTTGAAATTTGGTTATATCATGATTTAGAGAGAGTTTATTTAATATTCTTTATAGTTTACTGGTCATATTCTCAATACAGCTGACTATCATCAGTCATATATATAGTGAAACATATACACATGTTTACACAACGATGTATGTTTGGAGGGAACTATTTTGGGCAGTTATTAAAATATCTAAGTTTTCAGAAATACGCTTAAAAACATTTTAGTAAATATCCATCTTTCAATGGTTAAGATCATGAGTCAGTTGAAGCCATGGAAAATCTGAAAGCACTGGAAGGTCATTTCGTCCTAGTATGGGACTCTTCAGCAATGCGCATTCACGACCTCGCCCCCTGCGAGATTCGGATTCAGGACCTACTGGTTTCGCGCGCGAACACTTAACCACTAGACCACTGAGTCGGCATCTAACGGTTTTAATGTCTAACTTCAACTAATCCACGAAAATGAGCGAAAATAGTAGGTCATGCGTTCGAATCTCGCAGGGGACGAGGTCGTGGGTACGTAATTCCGAGGGGCCGCAAAACAAGTCGAAACGGCTGTCCAGTGCTTCCAGGGTTTCCATGGTGGTCTAGCTTCAAATGACTCATGATCTTAACCATTGAAATTACTATAATATCCACAAAACCCATCAAATATGGATCTCTCAAATAAAACATTAAAATTAAACAATTAATGAAAATATTATATTATTACTAACCACTTAAGTTTATGCTGATTACAAATTATGCTGAAGTAAATTAACTCGAACGAGTATCCATGAAAAAATTATAAATTTAATTACAAAATATACTACTTATTAATGTAGGTAATTTTGTTATTGTGGGTTATAATACCGAAACGAAATGAGATCAAAGGAATAATTGAAGAAAAAGAAAAGAAAAGTTTCTGGTTAAAAAAATAATTTTGCTAATGGTAGAATTAATTCAGGGCGTAACCTAAGATTTAAGCAGAGCATACCTAAAAATAAATTCTAGTTTAATCGGCCAACATTTATTCAATCTGAATTAAATAAACAATTTTAAATAAATGCGAACTTATACATTATGTAAAAATAATTAATTTATTGTTATTTAATTCAGTTTTGTGCTGTTTATTTGAATCTGCTCATTGATGTTCTGAACTGCAATTGATTAGTCTTTTATTGACATATGTGCACCCGATGCAGATTACCTTGATAGTGCTTTAAGTTACAAGCATTATGAGAAAAGGTGGGCTGTGGCTAACTTGGCTCAGTAGCTGTGTGGATGACGCGATGGAGTTTACAGCTAATGGTACTGGTTCGAGTCCTAGAGTGAACTTCAATGCTGGGATATAGACACGCCCAGTTGATGAGTTTAAAGTAGAACGAGACGTGGGTCCTAGATTCTACTACTAGTTACTATCCATCTTTAGTTTTATTTGTTTAAAATTCTGATCATTACTTACCATTACAAAGTTTTTTTGTTCTTTTAAAGTAAATCCAGGTTTATTACTGTTTTCAAGTTCTTATGAATCAATTATCACGAATTTTATTAATGTAAGCTCAGAGTCTTTATTCATTTTTTGTTCTTATTGAGAATAATAATCAAAAGTTAATATGTCCCAGTTTATACGATAGAAGTATTTCTTAAAACTAATGAATATTGGCGGTGTTTTTTGTTTTTATACTTTCTACTGTTTTTTCCAGAATTTGATCGAATGCTCAATGAATAACAATGAATCTTCGCGTCATATCAACGTTTTACTGAAACACTTTTTAATGAAGAAAGAAATACTCAAATTCCGTGGTTTTCTCTGACAGTTAGATTATCGGAATTACCTCTGACACTTACTGTGGTAAAGAATGACGTTTTTGTTGGTTGATAAAGATGCTTTAAATTGATTGATTCCAGTGAAAAAAAAGGTTCTGAGTCATTGTTTTGGTTCATACTCAATTTATCGTTCGCCTATCATCGAAAACTATAATATTATGTAATAAAATACAGTTGATACATGTCAATTTAGAAAGTCATGTTTAAAGATGTAAACCAGTATATTTAAAGAACAAATAACGTACATTTTATCAAAATTTGTTGTATCTGATAACAACAATTCTTGTTTTAATGTTACCACATTTAATTGTGAAGGTTAGAAAGATTTTGAAATGTTTGCTAACAATTACTATAATCTATGTAATTCATGTTTAGTGAATAATTTGTATTACTATTGGTTATGTATTGACATGATTACAATGTATAGTGTTGCCTAAATGGTACCCATGTGAAAATCTATTTTACATCTTGAATTTATAAATATATTATAGAAATTTAGAAGATATCAACATGATCCATAAAAAGAAGTTCTATACATTCTACAAGTTATTTATTCAACCTTAAACAATTAAATTTATTATTTTCTCATTTCATTGTAAACATTACCTGATCATTTATAAACGAACGTTTATATCCATCAATTACGAAAATAAATACATCATCTATGAAGTATATTGAAGAAATAAAATGTCAGTCATTTTACCAAAATTACTACTAGTAACTATGAGTAATAATTATGAACAAAGATTAATGGTGGCTAGCAGTGTAATCTGGGACGCGTATTTTGTTCTATTTGGGGCTCTTCAGTAGTAACAAATGACATATATATATATCTTTAAACCAATAGCTGTAGTTTAGAGTTAACTGATAACTAAGTAAATATCAAGTTAATGTGGTAAGCACCAAATATTTCTTTCCTTCGCAACAATTTTAATTATATCAATAATCAATGATGATATTAGTATTTCACAGTGTAGTATAACTGAGGTTATTAGAATTAGACAACTCAGTTATTATCAACTTATATCAATTGTTTATAATGCATAATAATCAAAAGTAAATATCAATTTCCCAAATAGTGCTGCTAAGGTAATCCAAAATGAACATTTCAATAATAAAATCTTATAGACAATAATTTTAAAAAAATAAATAAAAATTATTCACCCTTAATCCGAACGACATGGCAACTGGTTTTTTTTAAAGAATCAATCATTTAATTAAACTAAACAAACTGATGCAACTCTTTTCAATATTTTTTTTTGGATAATCACTAATGTAATTGGAATTTTGTTTTGTTTTCTATTAACCAGAAGACGAAAGATCATTATCATGTATTTAATGAGAGAAAAAATAAACGGTATACTAAAGACGATAGTTGACAAAACAATTATGTTGGTTGATAGATGAGATATTCTTAATTTTCATTTATAACTTAATTGTATAGATTGAAACAATCTGTATAAATTTAGCCTCATTGTCAATTTGAAGATTCTTTTGTAGGTCAGTGCTGGTTGAGTGAATTACAGTCATAAACTCGATATATTTATTTTCATAAGTCAATTTAAGCTAGAGCATCATTACTAAAATTTCTACAAAACCCCTTCTGATATAAGTATATATTAATTACCATTATTATTATTGATATTATTATTATCCACATCATTATTAGTACCCCGTTGTTGACATTCCTGATCCAGCTTATATCAGTCATAGCTAATAATTGCTCATCTTGTGCGGATCACGTTAAAGAAGTCATTTTTGACAAGTTTCTATTCAATTTCAAGAACTGTGGTTAGCAGTGAATTCCTGAACACAAATCTTTTTCCATTTAAGACTTATCAGCTAGCCACAACTCATAAATTGAATCAAAACTTGTCAAAATTGACTACATCGAGGTTATCCGCAAAGGGTGGGAAATGCCAACTAAGACTGATGAAAGCTCAGTAAAGAATATCAACAACGGAATAACTCAAACTGTCCTAATGATGATACAAGTATCATACTAGTTGTACAAATGAGTAACTACCTGGACTTCATAGCTAGTTGAAGAAAAACTTGTTAATTTTGATTTCCAGTGTGAAAATCAAACTGGGATGCATCTACAAATACCTCATTAGTCTCAAATTAAACAAAACTGGAGTCCTGAACTTTACTGCTAGCCATTATCCACATATTTAATAGCAGGGATCATTATTATTAGTCAAAGTAATATAAACATGTCTAAAGTCCCCCTTAAAGTGAGTTATATAATATAAAAGTACTGTATAATGCATCACTGGAGTACATTTTACCCGATTAAATAGATTCAAAAATTGAGTACCTAATCCAAAAACAGATGAACACAAAATTCTATCAACTAAACTACTCGTTTTCTTAACATAAACAGCTATAAAAACAACTTACAATCTGTTCAATACTAAAATGTGGCAAACCAGATTACTGATTTACTCCACTTAGAGCCCGTCTGGGGCTACTGCCGGTTCCAAGGCCGGATAAAAGAAGGAGGTTGGGAACAGCGTTAGTCACCTCATCCCGTAAAAAACTAACTCGCTAACAAACGCTTACCAGAAAAAATATTTCAAACCATTTAAACTCTGTACTGGGAGCTAGGAGGTTTTCATTTAGAAGAGTTATGATGAAAGTCACGTGGTGAAAGTCACGTTCTTTCGGAAGTCACGAGGCTGATGCCTTATCTGACAACTAGAGCAACCACTAATTAGGTACATGGAATGCTCGCACAATGTAGGAGACCGGGAGAGTCTTTCAAATTGCTGCAGAATTTACTGATTTTTCTCTTTAACAAATATAAATCATTCAACTAATTATAATCAAAGATGGATAGTGGCTAGCAGTGGAATTCAGAACGCGTGTTTCACCCTACTCGGGACTCGTCAGCTGGATGTACCTGCATCTCAGAGTTGATGTTCACTCTGGGACTCGACCTCAGTACCGTTCGCTTCAAACGACATTGCGTTATCCACTTAGCTACTGAGTGCTGATAGCCACTTGCTTGTGCAATGGGGTGAAGTTAAATTCACTTGATATTGTTTTACGAAACGTGCGTCCTGGATTCCACTGCTAGGCACTATCCATCTTTGCTTATAATGCTTGTAAATTAAGGCAATATCTAGGCATACGCACAGTATGCACATATGCCAATAAGAGACTGATCGATTTCAGTCCTAAAACATCAATGAGAAGATTCAAGTAAAACAATCTCAAGTGAAATTCATTCAACTAATGTTTATAATTACTCAGTAAACTTACATAAGGATATTTTATTAGTATATGCAATGAGTTTGAAAAAAATATCGGGTAATTTAGTTATTATTGAGTGAACTATATTGCTATGTTTACCTATACACTTGTATGAGTCAGACGTCTGTTTCTTAGAGTAAATGATTTCGGTTTTGTCGTATACATCCTCTTAAAATTCGAATCTTACAATGGACCTAGGTTCTGGTAAAAGTTGACTTATATTAACAGGACAATTTGGAAATATTGAAATATTCCTATTGTGGTATGAAGGTTGTGTTATTTTGTATTATAATTGTTGAAAAATGCAAGCCTGAGCAGACGCTTTATTCGAGTAAGGTGTTCATATCAATCGATCACTGGTTTGCAAACGATTTGGTATTATCTAGTTGATAATGTTAACTCGATTTCAACTATCAAGCTGGAATATAAATACTAATATGGGTGATTTAACATCTACCTGGAACCCAATTAATGTTACCTACTTTAAGCACCAGTAAACTGGTTTCGCTTGTAAACATAATTTTCAGTAGGGATTTCTCTTTGAGATGATGATTGAAAGTAGTTGACAGGAAACCTTGGACCTAGGTTTCATACTGCTTGGCATTCTTCAGCAAGACGTACCCGTAATCTTGAAAGAACTGATGCTCGAGATTACAGGTACGCTTTACTAACCAGTGTCAAGCTACCCGGAACCTAGGTCCAGGGTTTATTGTCAACTACCTCCAACCACCCTCTCATCTCAACATAATGCACTCAATGTTGAGTTTCCTAAACTAGTGGCCACATTTCAACTTGGTCTATAGAATATGATCTGCACTAAGAAGGGATTTCTTTCTGTTAGTGAATACAAGCAGTACACCTTTTACTTATTGGTTAATAATACGATATCCATTGCCTATCAATTACATTGCTTTCAATAATTTCAATATGATGTTAACCTCATTAATGTAATGAATATTACTAGTATGTTTTGCTCTAAATTCTAACAGGACTCTTCTGGTTGCTATATTTATATGGTATTATATAGTGAAAACTCAAACGATTGGGGTATCTTTTTATAGAATTGACCAAATCACTTTTATGAAAACAATGGACCATGATTTAATTTATATTTGATTTATCCAAATAATGTTATATACTGATAGGGAAACAAAATATTTCCAATTAAAACATATGCCCAAATAATAATCAATTTAAATTATTCATTACCTGACATGAAACAGAACAGTCTATGGTTTGACTTCTTGGCCATTTACATATTTCGAGGCACTAAAAATTGAAATAACAATGAAAACAAATGAAGGACATTAGTTTTAATTACGTTTATTAATTTAATTCTAATAAGTAAGAACATGATATATTAAATATACTTTGTAATTTTAAGATGTAACTGTAGTGAACGAGAACATAAGTGGGGACAATCAAATGTATTTTAATACAAAATTACAGAACATCTTAGTAAAATCTGAGAACCGTACAGTAAATACTTCATTTACGAAATGTCAATCAATCGTCTCAAACTTCGTTGTTTCTTCGTTTCCACACTAATTATTCCTTGTTCTCGTTCCCTTTTCTTTGATCTTCTTAACCTTCTGCCTTCAGGCATTTTACTTTCGATTGGTGATACATACTACTTATATCTGTCGACATCAGTAGCACACACCACGTAACTACAATTTCGTTAAGTCCAATTAATATAAATACTAAGTTGCTTGAATAACAAGTGAATAAAAGATATATTAGTGGAATATATTAAAGGAAACCACAAGGAACCAGTTTATACGAATACTAGAACGAACAGTTTGACAGAAATTGGGCGTTGAGTACGGAGATGTTATATGTGTAAATCATATATGAAATAATCTCAGCAATTGAAATTTAAATAATTTTGATTTGATTATTGCCCTGAAGATGTCCAGACAAGTTTGTTGGACGAAACGTCGGGATTTTCTAAATTCTAATCGCTGAGATAATTTCAAATGTAATTTTCACATATAATATCTACAAGAAAACAGTATAGATTACTTTCATCAAGATTGTTGATATGAAATGAATATAATGACATATTTAAATTTTCATTGCCTATCCTAATTTATCCCTGTAATGATTATTGATTTCATCTAATGGATAGATTTATTGTTAGCTGATCTATACGAACATTTCTGTGATTTTCCTTGGACATAATCTTTAATGCCATTTTGCTAGTCATAAATTTCTTAGCAGATATTTGTTTCAATCTATTGATGTTAAGTTATATAAGTGAATTATGAAGTTCATTCAGTTTTATAAAATGTTGACTCGAGTTGTAGATCAGTTGTTCACTGTATTCGCTGACATAATATAACTTTTGTTCGATGTATATAAAAGGCTCTATACAGATTTTGCACAATCTGTGCTCATCATCATTTCAAACAATCAAAACATTTATTTCTTACGTTCAATAAAAACTGTTTAAAATTATTGACTAATATGGTTTTTATTTAAAATGAATTATAATAAGTACGGATAATTATACTAATCGGAAGGGGGTTTGTGGAGATTTTAGAAATTTCACTAGTTGAAATCATGAGTTAATTGGAGCTAGACCATCATGGAAAACCTGAAAGCACTGGATGACCGTTTCGTTCTAGTATGGGACTCCTCAGCAGCGTGCATCCACGATCCCGAACCCTGCGAGATTCGAACCCAGGACTTATCAGTCTCGCGTCAGGCGCTTAACCAACTAGACCACTGAGCCGGCTGGTATCTAACGGTGTTAATGTCTAACTTCAACCAATCCACGAAGTTGCGCCACCGCACTGCTGGGGAGTCCCATACTAGGATGAAACGGCCGTCTAGTGCTTTCAGGTTTTCCATGGTGGTCTAGCTTCAATTGACTCATGATTTCAACCAGTGAAATTATGCTAATCATCAATCATTTTTTAATTATTTAATTAAAAGTCATTACATGTTTATGTTATAAACATTGAATAAACATTTTCATACTTCATATGTACAACATTTTGTAGGGATAAATCTTTCAATGATTTTATTCATCTTGTACCGGCCTATGCTCCATTAGGAGTAACAGGCATAAGTAAGTAAAGTGAGTATTTATCTTGTACATTATATGAATCTATTCAGGACTAGATCTTGGACTATCCCAATGAATTGTTAAACATTTATCTAATTCAATTCTTTATAATTATATAGTTCAATTGAATTATAAGTTGGAAAATGAATTTACTAAGTTAATTTACTCTAATAAATCATTATTAAAGATAATTCTTCAGTTTAAGGAACAATTTAATAATAAGTAGTACAGATAATTGTAATACAATATTTTCTCTGATATGATAATATTGATGAACATTTCATCTAATCAAATTTTATGAGAAAACATTAACCATTCTGCATCTGTTCTAAAAATATACCTTTGAGCTTCGATCTTTCTTTGATATTTCTCTTAATTTAGCCTCAGGCAATGGAACTAAACACTAATAGAAAAACATTCTTGTTATTCTATAAGAATAAGGAGTTTTGTATATCCAATGATAATTCTATTAGCTTATTGATAAACTATTAGAAAATGAAACTAATGTATTACAGATCCTTTTTTTCTTCATTAGACATCAAGAATCAGAGCCTGGAATCAAAATAACGAATAAATATATACCATCAGATAAGAAATTTATGCGTGACAAAAGATAGATTGGTAAAAACATGGTAAAATGATTAGTAGCTTATCCAGTAATTGTTTGTTTTCCTCATTTATGTAGTTATTTTTGTTCTGTTAATTATTGATAATAATTATTTTGACTGGTTGAACTCATGAGTCAATTAAAGCTAAACCACCATGGAAAACCTGATAGCACTAAACGGCCGTTTCGTCCTAGTATGGGACTCTTTAGCAGTACGGTGGCGCAACTTCGTGGATTGGTTGAAGTTAGACATTAACACTGTTAGATACCAGCCGGCTCAGTGGTCTAGTTGGTTAAGCGCCTGACGCGAGACCGATGGGTTCTGGGTTCGAATCTCGTGGGGTGCTGGATCGTGGATGCACACTGTTAAGGAGTCCTATACTAAAACGAAACGGTCGTCAAGTGTTCCAGGTTTTCCATGGTGGTCTAATATTCATCTACTTCTTGATATCATTTGGAACTCAACTATCTCTACATTCTTATACTGATACTGTTAAAATGTTAAATTTACTACTTACAAATAACACAAAATGATATCGATAACAAATGATTAAAGTTAGTTTGAGTAATTCATTTCATATCCTAAATGAAATAATTTTAATGTTTATCAGAGCTTTTCAACTTCAAGGTTTATTCTTCATAAGGAGTTAATCACTAAAAACACTGCGATATATATCAAAAAACAAAGGTCAAAATTATGAGATTAAAACAAGGTTTTAACTATTTTACCCATACAGGGTACACATCTAATTCATAACATACAAATGATACATAATTCTTTAGTGAACTTTTGTTTTCTTAAAACAAACTTCGTAAAATTAATAATATTTCTAAATGAATACAAATTTTTGTTTGTCAATATTGATGACATGAGAAAAGAGAGTAATGTTGATGAAATGATGTATCTATTCCATAGAAAGAAAAAGACAATTCATGAAGTGCGGGTTTACTGTTGACATGAATGATTAATGTTTTGTCATTTTATTGAAAACATTTTCAATCCATTTTTGTATTAGTTGTTTGAATCATTTCGTTGATATTTTGGAGTGTATTTGATCAGTTTCTTATTGGCGTATGTGCATCCAGTGCAGATTGTCTCGATATTGGTTTAAGTCGCAAGCATTCTAAACGAAGACAGATAGTGGCTAACAGTGAAATCCAGGACGCTCGCTTCTTCCTATTTGGGACTCGTCAGCTGGATATACCTACATTCCAGAGTTGATGTTCATTTCGAGACTAGAACCCAGTACCGTTCACTTCAAATGCCACCAAGTTATCTACTTAACTACTGAATTCAGATAGCTTGTCCAGGAGAGAACATCAACTCTGGAATAAAGGTACGTTCAGCAGATGAGGTCCAAACAAGGCGAAACGCGCTTCCTGGATTTGACTGCTAGCCATTATCTATCTTTACTTACAACTTTTACTTTATGCTAATGAAGGTGAATTTAAATAAAAGCTTAGCATATTAAAAGATCTGAATATTTTGACGTAGCAATCATAGTAGATATATTGTATCGGCTAAAGTGAAATATCTTGCCAGAATTTAGGTAATATTGTGGTAAATAATAAGCCTTGAAGATAATCAATACTCAAAATATGAATAATAACATAAAATAATTGCAAAACAAATCTTGTTATAATCATGGGTATGGCAGAAAGCACGAAATACACAGCGTTTCAAACAGATCATCCACTTCATAAGGTTAAGAAAAGGTTGATCAGCAATCATAACTGAATAATCTGGATAAATTTATATGTGGATTCGCTTCATCTACTTGCAACTTACAACCAATGATATTATTCATTAGAAGCAAAACAAATATAAAATGTACATTTATATAGTTAACGTATAAACAACTGGATGTATGAACAAAATTATAGTTTGTTTTCACAAGCTCATAAAGAAAAAAACCCCAACGTTACATGAAAAGTTCATTAATGCAATTTAAAGAAGCAGAAAAAGCGCTTATAACATGGGAATTTTATTGTTCTAGGATCACTATAACACCCTTCTAAACTCGCTCATCAATCATAGTAGCAAAGACATTTAAGATCAGATTTATGGAAGGTTATGTTTCATTCTGGGAGAATGATCGGGAAAAAACTTGACTCTCTTAGTGGGGGATCTGAACAGAAAGGTTTAGATGGACACTGCCAGGTATGTAAGTATCATGAGGTTAAATGGACCGGGAGAAATGAATGATAACGTCGAAAGACTGGAAAATTTATTTCTTTTCAACTACGCTGTTGTGGATGGCACTTCTTATCCCAATAAAACCATATATAAAACCACATATAGTCACTGGTCCACTCTAGAGAAAACCAAATAGATTACACTTGTGAAAGTAAAAAATTCAGAAGGTCGACGAAAATCATAAGAATAAAGTAAAAAGCATATATAATTTCATATAGACTACTTTGTTGTGACCGAGCCAAAACTAAATTTAAAGCAGGATTGGAAAACTGTACAAACAGGATTATTATGTTCAATACAACGTCCCTTCCCAATGCTAAAAAGCTCAGCGAATTCAAGATAGTTCTCACCCTCGAGCTCCAAACCTTACATTATTTATCAGCAGAAGAGGA